TTGAGAAAACCACTATTTAATAAAAAGTCAGTAAATGTACAAAACCGAAGGAAAAATGGTGAATACACCAAATAATATCACCTCCTGTTTTTGTAGCTGCCCTCTGCCTATTTGGGCTATTTCCGGCTTTGGTACACATAAACCAATGAATTCAATGAACGTCTTATAAATTCGAGCTGCCTGATCCCTTTCAAACACATCCAAGCATATGCAAATTTTTGGACTTGAGCAAAACCGGTTTTCAGAACTGTTTGTTCAAAGTGTTTCACGTGCGAAAAACGTGAAAACGTTTTTCTTTTAGGTTCATGACGTTACAATATATTTTATTATGAATGTTCGACTTTTGCATTTCCTCTTGTTTTAAAACCGTCGTTAAGGGCTGATCTATTATAACACTATATTCAGTTTTATATTAACATGAAGTGAAAGAAAAGTGCATCAGTTTATTTTGACCAGCGACGAAGAGAAATTTCACAAAAAGAAAAGCTAAAAGGATCTTGATGAGCCTACCACTTGTATAGTCTTCAAACAAATATAATATCGAAGTGTCTAGATCTAAATTTTCATATTTTTTCCCGCTTTGTTAGCGGAATTGGGCAACTAATTGGGGGTAAGTCACGGTCTCCGGAAGGACGGAAACAGCGAAAAATGCGTTGAGTCGGATCCGAACGGACTTCACTACAGCCGCTCTTAGTTTTTCCCGTTTGAACTCATTTTACTGATGTCGCTTGTTTCTGTAAATTGTATTGATAAAGACAGGGGCTAAACTAATACATAACAGCTACCTTGACGGACTAAGACGTGTTAAGGCTATTGACTCGATATTGACACTGCACTGAGTTGTTCAAACTTCCTAAAATCCAGCCCCACTCAGCTTTCGGGAAATGTAACTCTATTTTGTCAACACAACTGAATATTTTAGACACTTTGTCCACTAGGACTGATAGTAAGATTCTTCGCTATTCTACCGTAGCCGGCCTGGCAAGCGTTTTGCAGCTGGGTTTCGGCTCGAGTTATTGTCGAAATTTGATAGAGGGGGAGCAAAAACATGGCGTACCGGGAGCTCGACGAACTCGCGAGAAAAGCTTCCTCTACGGCGCGGAATCTGGCGTAAACTGCGTTAAACCTTGAGACCGGGCAAGCTTAGACATATTCTTTGTCAACAAAAGAGAGTCAACTTTTGTTTGTGACATTTTATGCAAATAATTTATCATAAAAGATCGAGAAGAACTGGTGGTGTGACTTTTCTACTTGATTAGCATATGAAAACAAACGAAGCTGTCACAGAGGAGGACGCGCAGAGCAACATGAAATAATTTCTTCATCTTACTCATTTTTATAGTTTTTTTCATCGAAAAAATCGTTGGACTAGTTCACAGCAAAGTTTTAATAAAAGGCTGATTTTTGTACATCATCGTGTGCGCCCTTGACACAAATTCTCACTTGTGGGTTTTGACAAACTTGCAAAACCGGTCATGACCCGTACGGAAAACCCGACCTACTTGCACGGCTGCAGGAAAATTTTTTGATCAAAACCTAAAAACAACAGCCGTTTACCGGCCAATTTCGCTTGGGAATCGTCGAAGGAGTTTCGTTGGAAAAGAGGCAAAATTCGAGTGGAATCGACGATAAAAATGGCCCAGGTTTTGCGTAAATTTTCAAGATAGCTCTCCGCTGTATGTTACTCAGGGAAAACACAGCTGATCTGGAAGCATGGAGGGAAAGAAACTCAGGGTTCAGTTCGAGCGGCGAGTCGATTCAGCTTGGTCTTGGTTGATTTGCTTCACTTCGTTCATGAGCCAGTTTATAGTTCTAGGAACTCACAACTCATTTGGTTCATTTTTTGTGGCATTATTGCAAGAATTTCATCGCAGCGAAGCTGAAACAGGTACGATTATGAACAATCATATTTTCCCCCCACTTTCACCGCGCGATTGACGATAAAAAATTGATTTCGTCGGCAGGTTGTTGAGACAGGGACTCGCGAATTTTCTGTTCTCTTTATTCATGGTTAAATTTTGTCGCGACCAAGGAAAATTGCAAACAGAAATGAAGGAAATCAAATCGAGAAAAATAAATTCCCAGCCGCTTCGCTCAAAGTACATAACTCGAAACTTGATGATAGGCCAGGAAACCACGCGAGTGTTGTAAGATATATATCAGCTTTTGTTGCGCCAAACAGATTGACAAAAATTTATAGAACATTTTGATCTCTCAATAATTTTTCTTCAAGTTTCTCCAATATTAAGTCATGAGGAGCTTAGTAACGGGAAATAAAATTTGTTCTTTCTGTAAAACCGGTTGTACAGCGCCGTGATGATCTCACTGCCAATGTGCCACGGTCTGTTGACTCTTGTTCCACGCGCGGAAAAGGAAAACCCCTCGAGTAGTTCAGGAGCGTGCGGTGGGCTCAAATTTATCGCTTGCTAAATGAGTTTTGGCCTGAAACGTTTTGGTCAACCTGAGTTCATACACAAATAAACCATCGGTTATCGCTGGTTTTGGGTTGTAGATTGTCACCCATATCTTGGTCTCCTTGCTAAGTTTATTTTTTAATTCACTTAAGTGCGCCCAATTCTGTATGAATACTACCCAAATCATGCGACAGGAAATCCGGAGCTGCTTTCAACATATTTCGTCAGCTGCAAGTAACTGACGGAATGTATTTTTCCTTACCAACTTGTTTTATAATGAGCAGTCTTCAATTTGTCCTTGTTATTATTCGATGTAATAAAAATTGCTTATAAACATCTGCATTGCTTTGCAAATTGTATTTTCCGTTCTCGGACTGGAACATATGTATCGATCGGCTTCATGCGAAAAGGTCAACCGTTCGACAAGTGAGGATTTTAAATGCCAAGTGGCTAAACAAACAGCGCATTTTTCAGGATGGCACGGAATTTTTTTCTCTGTTTGATTTCCTTTCCGGACGTTTCTTGAAAAACGAGTTTTACAGTACTACTCGGCAGCTTTTATTTTTTCATAGGCATTACCCAAGATATTAGCAGAAAAGTCGCGCAAAATTCTGCAAACTCGCCAAACAGGGTTTTCCCGGAGAAAATGTTCACCACAAAAATCATAAATATACATAACTAATTTGTTTACAACCTATGTTTCTGAGAATTTCGAACCGTCTACTTAACCTGTCGATATAAAATGTCATTTTGAGGGAAAAATCTCATGGCGGTGGTAAACTGCCCGAGGGATGTTTGGAGCAATGGATAGCGAAACAACTTAAATGTTTCGAAAATATTTATCTGAGGAAACCCTTGTTTTGCATTACCATTTTTTTTTTCACGCAAGTGCAAAGTCCACATCTTGTATAAAAGACACGCGTGAAAAACACGTGGGGGGCCAGGGCACTCCTTATTTGCCTCATTTGCATAAGGGGTATGTGACGCTGTACAGGGTATGGCTTTTGGGGTCCTGTGGTTTTCAGGGTATGCATTTGTACACGTACAAGTCGAATCCCGGTAACTCGAACCCTCCATAACTCGAACCTCCCGCCAACTCGAAGCAATTTACATTTACCTTCAGATCGTTTTCTGTATAATTTTACCCTCGATAACTCGAACTCCCAATAACTCGAACTTTTTTCTATTTCCCTTGAAGGTTCGAATTATCGGGTGTATTATACTATTTCGCGTTGCGGGAGTGTGACTTATAAATTGGCCATGTACAGTCTTCAAGTGGTCTCAAGTGTGCTATCCATTTTTTTTTATTTATTCGATAATGTCCGCTAAAAAAGCTCATTTCGGGGTACGAACCGAACCGAATAAGGGTCATGCAAAAAGGTCTTTTGTCTTAAAAAGGGTAGCGAACCCGGGGAGGGCGGGGTAGCGAAATGAACGGTTTTTGTCTTAAACAGGGACAGGGTGTGAAAGCCTTATCGGCACTCACCCTACGCACACTTTCATTAAGTGCCCCCTCCCCTTAGGTAACATTGATTCTAAATTTCTAGTCTGTGAGAGAACTTGCCTTTCGATGCCGTGACCATCAAGAGAACCTCTTTTACGATTATATCGTGCCCCATAGAATCTTCCGGAAGTTTACATTACAGTAATGAAAACGGGAAATATTCTTCTATGGGTTCTGTGGGTGGGCTGATCAAACCTCTTCAGGCATTTGTCTTTGGCGTATTTAAAGGACTAAAAGCCTTTCTTCCCCTGAACATAATTAATTACTTGTAATTGTAACGAATTGACGCCGACGGGTTGGGTTCGGGAAGGACAATAAAAAACCATCTGAGGGTCTCGAGAATCTGTGATCCCCCCCCCTCCCTCCCTGCCATCTGAAGGTATTTTTTTGGCGGTGTTTTTTTAATTGGCATGAGAAACAACTAAGCGAGATGTGGAAACAGGCTCTTGTCCAATTTTTTTCCCAAAACGTTGTCACATTTATGATAATTAGTTTTGTATTGAAAATACATTTGCGTATAAAACACGTGGTTATTCGATATTCATAGGTAAAGCTGTTTGCATGAATTTGTAAATGGAGATCACTGTATTTTCCGGAAAGAAATCCGCGAGCGCAAAAACGCAACGGTCACGCGAGGAGGGAGATAAGGGAACACCCATTTGTTCCCCTTCCTTCCCAACCCCCCCCTGGCAGACCTTGGCGTCCCCGCGCGCCCTAATTCCTCTCTCCTCTTCTATATCGATTGCTGGGTAGAATAAGACGTTTCACCCAACGAAGTGTTCGTACGGGGGAGGGGGCGGGGGGTGGAAGGAAATCGGTAAACTAGGTTTTCGAGGATCAGTAGTGGTTTGGTGGCCTGGCCTGGAGGGGTGACTTTGAACAGGCTGGGGTAACCATCGACCGCCTATTCTGAGTCCGACGACCCGATACCAAATCCTGAATTGTAATTATTTTTTTGTTCTCATTTACCAACAGCATGGATTGGCTCTCTGGCGATGGGATTAACGTTTATGTGTGGACCAATCGTAACCATTCTCTGCGACCGATGGGGATATCGAGTTGTCATGTGCCTTGGTAGTGTTATTCACTTGGCGGCCATGTTGATGACGTCATTTGTGCCCCACATGCCCTTGATGTACATCACCTACAGTGTTTTATTTGGTTTTAGCTCTAGTTGCTGTTATTTTTCTTCTTTGAACGTGCTCATAATTTATTTCAACAAAAATCTCGCCTTGGCCAATGGAATCGCAACGGCAGGCGCCGGAGCAGGAACGATGTCACTCAGCTTAATGATTGACAAGTTAATATCCACCTATGGTTTTAGGATCGCTTTCCGGAGCTTGGCGGCGTTATCCGTTTTGCTTTTCATAGCTGGTCTTACTTTTTTACCCGTGGACTTCAGGGAGGAAGAGGAGTGTCTAAATAAAACAAAAATTAAAGAACAAGAACTGATGAAAGCAAAAGACAAAATGATTTCCAGAATCAGAGAACTGCTGAAACCATCTCCTGTGTGGAGAAATAAAGCTTTTGCCGTATGGGTAGTAGCTATGTTTATGACTCTCATCGCCTACTATATTCCTTACATGTACCTGGTAAGTATTTCCATTTCAACCTAGTATCAGTTAACAGCAAAAAACACACCTACTAGTCTTGGATTCTGGATTCCACGCTGTGGATTCCGGATTACCTTACATGGGACGAATCATTTCAGAATACACTTGAACCTCTCTACAACGACCACCTTGGGAACAGACAACAACAACAACTTTTTTGACTTTATCTTCGACATGAAGATTTCAGTACCAAAACAATAACAAATGAAAAAAGTAAAATAAAAGTTAAGTAAGAAAGAAAGGAACAATTGAATATTATCAGAAACTCATTACCATAAAAGAAAACGTTACTTGGCTATGTACGGCTTCTACGCTACTCGTATGGTAAGAAAGTTTCGAAAAGTTTAATTAGAGTTCGGATGCATAACAATTTAGAATATTTTCAATATAAGAGGCACTAGGATTCAGATGCTTCTGATCGCACATGGACGCAATGCTCTCAAAATAGTGCTATGACATATTCATTAAATTACTGTTTATCAGTATAAACTCTCCAAGAAATGCGCTATGCTGAGAAAGTGATGGTGGTACATTTCAACAGATGATGGAATTCATCGCAATTTCGGATCTCTAATACAGGGGCAAAGCCTCAGCAGAAGAAATGGCCATTGTAGAGAAAGTTCAAAACAAAGGTTTCATGAAGACTGTCCGCTGGCCTGCATGGCAAGCGTTTCAATCAGGCCAACTTTCCTGGAACCCAAAACCTCGCGAGAAACGCTTGCTACGCAGAGCTAACATCCGCCAAACAAATGACCATTGTGGGAGGTGGCTGTTGTGGAAGTGGTAGCCATTATTGGAGGTTCGATGGTTAATGTAAAAAAATATTGCAAACGGGCGAGCAGTGGCGGAAGAGAGTTAGAGGCACGAGACCCGGGTCTCCATGCCACACCAACAATTTAGAAGCTAACTTTCATTTTTGGCAGTTCTTATTTAAATCATTTCTTTTCTACAGATTAAATCTGGCAGAGGCATTAAATTCCCTCCAGTCAGGCGCTCTTCTGGTCCCAGCTACTTCGGCATGGCTCAAACAGTTGAAAGGTCTCTTCCTTCAAACGGAGACTCACCACCCCCACCCCGAATAAGTCGTTTGACTCTGAAACTCAAATATCTCTATTGGTAATTGCGGTAGCGCATGTCTGTGCCACTGGCCCGATCTCGCCACAGCCTTACTCACGTACTCTCTGGTGTCGGGCCCTGTTCGATGGTTGCCTTTGCGTAATGATTGGCTTGGCCTCATGACATCGTGGGACAGGGATGATGGCCAAAGCTGTGGGACACTCTTTGGAATGGCAGTCCCAATGGCAATACGGACCTCCCATGAGTACATATCCTTCTGCTGCTGCGAGCATTGTCTTGAGTTTAGGACTGGCTAAGAGCAAATGAGGGGACTAGAGATGGGTAGGTGGCCATCCCTCTTTCTTCTAATACCTCGGTTCCTGCCTCTTTCTTCCGCGCCTCGCCCCGTTCTTCGCCCTTTTCTCAGTCCTCAGTACCCCCTGTAAGGGGCAACATCCCAGAACTAGCATCGTCTTGGCAAGTTACCTGTGCGAAGAGGTCTCACAGCACCAAAAGTGATAAAGCCTTTTTGGATTTACTAAGTTGCATGCTCGAGATTTGCTTGAGGCAGGTAACCAAATATGTAGTTGACTTTGTAACTGTTTCAATTTTGTTTCAATAGTTTTTTTCTTCGCCTGTATATGACACCAGTGTATGAATACCGTAAAAATTCCGACTTTGGAGGCTTATGCCTGAACTGAGGAAATTTGTCTCAAAATCTGATTGAAGCTAACCTTATAGTTGGGAGCAATTTATGTCCATAATTGAAAGTTTTCAAAGGACATGGAATATTTTGGAGCTCATCCATGCAAGTACTTTGTCTATATGGAGCGAGGAACGCCAAGAGTGAAAAGGAACTACGCAAACAGCAATATATCAGAGCACCTCGACCGGGTACTATGTTGACACAAGCAATACATGCAGTTCTTTTGGCAGATGGAAAAATCTTTATGTGTTATTGCATTTCTTGTTTTATTTTTGAATTTGAGGGCAGTTTCAAGTACAAGCTCCTGGGGCTATATTTGAGGGGTGATTTAACGAAGGGTTTTTGCGTTGAGAATTTGGGGGCTAATATTTGATAGGCTTATACACGAAGGGGCTTTACTGAGTTTTACGGTATGTAATCCGAAATTGAAACTCGTCAATAACCTTGCAAAACCAATTTTTCGTCTTCAAAACACTCCAATTTGCCTTGAAAATGTCCACCCCTATCGCGCGGCCAAATTGACAAGTATGACGTAGAATGGTTTGCAAGATCAAAGTGCATAGTAATGACATAAATCGAAGCGAGTCTGAGTCAACTAACTGACGTCACATGACGTCCCAACCTTTCTTTTGATACTCTACTTTGGCGTCGTTGGAAGTAGTTTTTGGATGGCCAAAAAAAAATTAAGAAATCATTTTTTGGAGACATACTTTTAAAGTTCAGCAACTGTTAATTAAACTTTATCCATGGACCAAAATAAGTTTGAAAAAATCTCGTGTCATATACACTTTAATGCATAACGTTGAGTAAAGATTAATTAATATTTTCACCTTTCGTCCTCATCTAGACACGTTCAAAAAACACGGAGAACCAGGGATGCTGCCTTCTAATGAGGGTATTAGCTTTCAGCAGACCGAATGGAAATTCTATTGAGGCGATTGGAAACGATAAGGATCAGGCCCTAACCCAGCATTGTGCTTCATTTTTGTTCATATTTTCAGGTCTGCTCTATGACAGTACAGGCAGCTTCAATATAACAGTGTTCTTCTGTCCAGCGGACCTGTCGTTGCGGAAGCTGCATCGTGTTCCTCGTCCCCATTCTTGTCCCTTCTAGGAAAAACCCCGCAAAAGTCTTCATCCCGAGATAACTGTCTCAGCAAATAATGTTATTGACTTAGAGGATGATTTTTTGAGATCAGAAAGCCAAGTAATCCTCAAGTCTCGCTGGAAAGTTTCCCTTGAATTCAACGAAGTCGTTTACATGTGGACAGATTGAACTTGGGATCACGCAAAAACAGTTTCATATTGTTTTCACTGTTCCCGAGGGGAGTTTTCGGATATCCCTGTTAAATAGGCGATACCCAACAGCAGAGAAGCCAGTCACACATCCCCGGCAAGACTGTCCGAAATAGAGTTGACAGTCAACGTAAACAGTTGTTTAAGTTAGGAGCCTGTTGCAGAGGCGGAAACGTCAGGGACAAGCGCAGTGGTCTCTCGAGCTTATGACTGAACCCTGGTTGACGTCGAGCTGGTAACAAATAAATCGTTTGAAAGCCTCAGAATGCAGGTTCAATTGAGCAAAAAGTTGGACAGGTGATTGGTACCTCCAGACTATGACAGCAAAGATAATCTTCCTTATATCACAATTTCCAAGTCTACAGAGAGCGGGTTCGTATCCGAGGAGTCAGATGCAAGTCTTTATAGTGAAAACCATGACACTAACAAAATTGTTTCGTCCACGTCAAACCTGGACGAAAATCGCTTAAGTGGCTACTCATGGAATTCAACTGGTAGTGATCTCTCATGGAAGACGCAGAGTTTGGACCTGGTACTAAAAGACAATACTGAAAAGAATAATAAAATAAACAGTGATTTATTAGAAAATAGCCTCAAACAAGACCCAATAACAGAGAGGGGCTATTACAGGAGCGATACCTCGCTTACCATAAAGGACAATGATCTTGAACTTTATAGTGGTGCTGTTCACCGTGTGAAGTCGCTGATAGTTGAGGGACCACTAATCAACGAGCCGGATCCTCCAGTCTGCTTCATTAAGTCTGAGGATAAATCAACGTGCGCAGGAGAAGAGGAGGAAAGTGACTTTTCCGGTAAGGCTGTTGCCTTAGTTAAAGAGTTAACCCAACAGAGTGATGTTTCAATCCCTGAATTACCTCTAGCGCCCGATTATTACAGTGAAATGTTTGAAGGGATATTGGAAGAGGTTAACGAATATGTCGAGTATTTCTCGGAGTTGTCCAGTTTCCAGGACGCGCTTAAAACATGGCCAAAAGTTAGTGTGACAGATCTTTCCTTGTGTGAACGAGAAACGGTAGTGTAAATCAAATGGATAGGCCAGTGTAAACCTAATAGAAACGCTAGTATAAACCAAATTGTACTAACTGAGAGCAGTGTGGCAAAATGCACTGCTAGCGCTTAGGAGCAAGTTAACATACAGACATCAACCACCTGGTCTAATGAACCGTCTGCTAAGTAACATAACACTGGGTGGAAGGCGCCTCAGTTTGTTCGGAGAAATCACATAACAAGTTGATTGGACAAAACAGTCGAATAATGATATTTGACAGATTAAATTCAGTATATCAAGCACTAAAATGAAAATTATCCTCATTCCACACATTGGTCTTATCATGTCCAATATTCTTGGAGCGAAACTATAGATACGCGAAGAAACCTCCGACAATGAATCTCTTGTTATGATGATACTGATTATATAGAGAAATAAACCGAGCTTAAATTACGCGACAGGAAGTTTTTCACTTTCCACTAAAAAACAAATAATGTCGACTGATTTTTCAAAACATCGCAAACCTTATTTGCTGTTGCGAACTAATTACGAAATAAAGTTAACGCTTATGGCTACTGAAGAAGGTCAATCAAAAGCGTGCAGACTGAGAGCCACATCTCCCCGTGCAATAAGTTTACTATGTTTAGGATGTGTTCGATTGATAATTTTCCGAAATAAGAACAAATGAAATTCCTTGTTTTGGCACTCATTACGTCGGAACATCTAGAAATCTACTTGAACTGAATTGGTAACAACGTTTTTGTGTATTCTTATTTCGGAATACGATCAGTCGTACACACCCTTATATAGGCGAATCTCTGAATGTTGAAAGAGCATAACAATTTCAGTTATCTCTGAAAATTTGAGCCCGATATAGTGAATGGTTTCGGAGAAATTCTCTTTTAAAAAGTCGAAATTTTACTAAGAATGTATGACTCATTAACTTTTTTGCCACCTAGCAATTTAATTCGTAGTTTTCGATGGCTGATATTTCCTTCAATATTGCTTGCAAAGAGCTTAAAATTGCACAAATAACTCATTGACAAGTTAATCAGCTCTTTCAACGTTTGAATTTAGTTCATATATACGGCCACGGCTTCTATGAGTTAAGTCGTATGCTCATGAGGAAAAATGTAAACAATGACGTTTGCAAAGATTCGCCTATACCTTAGGCTTAAATGAATCACGAATACCTATGGCAGTGTATTCGTACAAGCTTTCCAGTACGGTGGTTCAGATCCATTCCTTGTAGTGTTTGAGGCTGACCAAACATCCCACCGCGGTCAAGAGTACAATGACGACGCGTGCACAAATTTAGTTTTGGCAAATGATGACCCAAGGTGGATCTCAGCAAAAATTTATTACATAAGTCACGGCAGTAAGAAAAAGGAATAAATGTTTTGGAGTTTGTCGTGAAAGAAAAAATGGGAAAGAACATTTCTGTACAGCTTTTCGTGCAGTAAAAATACGTAAAGGAAGGTCAGATAGCTCTGAGACGAACCATTCAGAGTGACTGTATCCCAAAATAGCTCAACATGCAATTTGCAGGCCTGGTCTAACGCCAGTCGTCTCTTCTAAGTCATCATCTCTGATACAACTCCTTTGACTGGTGTTCATAAACGTATTTTGTTTGCAATCTTAGGGCACCTGCATATCTGCAAAATAGAACGATTAGGGCCGACCTGCACCTATTCCAAACAAGGTTTGTGATTGGCTGGGAAAACAATAGGGATGGTGACATAACAATGCTCCTATCCCTGAAAACAGTAGGTAGTGCAGGTTATAGGGACCAATAAAATAAGAGGTTTGGATGGGTGCAGGTCGATCGAGCGATTAACAAAAATATTGTATTTTAATTTTTTTTTATAAATTGGGCAATCGGACCAAAAATGGCAGTGTTGCAGGAATATTCTTACTGATATACGTACATCGAAAACTTACGTCGGAAAAAGAAAACAGTTTTTTTGATTTTATACAAAAAGGGCGTTGGGCTATAACTAAATCCGTTGTTGGTTAGATCAAGATTAAACCTACTCTATATATTGCTGATGAGAATTGTGTACATTCTCATCGATTGAATGAAATCATTAAATCAAAATAGAACCTCTTATTTATTTATTCAAAAGGCGGCATATACACTAAAATATTCGTAGATAAACCATATTTATAAAAAGTGTATAAAACGTTGTTCTTTTTGATAAGGCGTACGTACTTCTTTAAGTGTTCTGTTGAAGCCAGCGAATGGCCTGATCTCGAGACAATAATTTACTTCTTAATTCTCATTCTGACATCTGTTATTTTCTCGCTCAGGTCTATATTCAGACCCATCTCCTCATGTGTACATTTTATTTAAGACGAGAGTTACAACATGTATTTATAAGCATGCGGTTCGGAGGTGATACTCTTTAGAGAAGTGGAGCTTAATTAAGCAAAGACTTTTGTGAGCGACGCATGTCAGTAAATCGGAAGTGAGGTTCCACCCTTTAATATGCCTTGACACTACCAAATTTTTATTAATAAGTGTTATAACTCTCATAGAGACGTTGTGCCTTAAAACTTAGAGAAAATCACTTCCCAATTATTGCAAAGGGTCCTCTACCGGTTGACATGCATCGTTAAAAAAGTCGTTGCTTAATAAGCTCCCTAGCGGGGGTTCAAAACGTAGTACGCGACTGTACTTACTAATAAAACTGACTGGGTTTTAAGCAGTAAGGAGCAGTCAGATGTATTTTTAGGGTTAACGTTCTGTCTTCTGGGAAGATACTTATATAGTTAAATCAGAATCCAAATAGGTATTGAAATATTTAATATTATTATTTTAATTACAGATTTAGGTAGTCTTATTTTATTGGGGGTGTATAAAACAATATGAAAATAAACTTGTGTTGATGTTTTCTAATATTGTTTGTGAACGAGTTTTTACATGAAGTTTTTTTTAGGGTCAAACCTTTTTGTTCCCTCTTAGCTTGTTCACAGACCCTCTATTTTCTCTTCAAAGTCCGTCGAACGTGGGTGATAAAATATAAACCGCAGGGGCCGATGTTTTTGAAAAGAACGAAAAGAAAAATAAAACAACGTCTGATTACAGGCTAGTTCCCCCTAGCCTGCTAGCTAGAGACACTTATGATTAAGACGAACACATCCAAATCCAAGACATATGAACTTTCAGAGCAAAACAGCGAAGAGAAGAGCGACTTGAATTTCCCACCTGATTTAGACAGTCAAGCCCTCCTTCCTCAGGAATTTAATGAAGAAACTGAAAGTCGTCACCACGACTTTTCCGTTTTTACAAGGACTTTAAGTTTACGAATCACTTCAAATGACTTTCCATTTTTTCATCAATGAAATCTCCCGAAGGAGGACGGCCTATCTTTCGCCTTAACTCTTATCATAAAGGTTGAAAAATATTCGCGGACAAGGATTGTATCGCTTGCCCGAAAAATACGGCTGCATTGTAGACTATAGTTCTACCCCTCGGTCAATTCTAGGTGTTTGCGAAATACATAAAAGGGAGCTTAAGGAACGACGACGGCGACGTCAACGAGAACGGCAAAAAAGCGATAGGCTTAGATTGGCAAAACAACAACTTTGCACGTGCATCACGCTTTTTTGTGCATTTCTGCACGACTACCACGTGAAAATGCCTATTTTCACGTTTTGTGGAGGACTTGATTGCAAGAACATGACTTTCTTTTCTTTTTCTGGACTTCGATATCAACTCCAGAAAATATTGCTAACGGTATTTGACAAATTGAAGGAGATGGAAAACCGCGATAAAGTTTTAAGCAGTGCGACTTCACTTTTGGAGTGACGTTTTCGAAGTTGTCGCCGTCGTTGTTGCTTAAGGTGATGTTACACGAGACGATTCGCAATGATGATTTTTAGCGCAACACAGCGTTGCAACATTGTTGCGACATTGTTTCGAATAGTTATCACATTGTTCCAACATTGCAACGCTGTGTTTCTGTGAAAATCGTCGTTGCGAATCGTCCCGTGTAACCCTTGAAAACTGAAGAAATGGGCCGCTAGCGCGTGCTTGCCCTGAGAGGTTTCTCTCTCACTTTTTGCATTCACACGTGATCTCATTGCATTCAACACGGTTCTATCAAGTAAACTGGATACCGCCCTACAGTTACATCACAGTCGAACGTCCATGTGCAACCACCTGCCGCTTTTAAAACTTTAAAAGTGGTGGGAAACAAGTCGTGGTCACTTAAAAGCGACCTCGAACATATTTCGTAGTGACCCTGTTTTAGCGGGGTTTTCCACCGTTTTTAACCTCTTTTAAGTGAGCACTTGACGAATGGTTTGATCTCCTTCGATTGAATGTGTTCACTTCAGTTCAATAAAGTGTGAAAACTATTTATTTCGTTAAAAATTGCTGGAAACAAATGCCCTCGGAGGGCTGAAAATGCTATTTTAGAGACCCCATATTTCAAAATCCTCCCGGGGAGCAGGCCCCCGGACCCCTGACTAGGGCGCTCGTGATTGGACCCCCCAATAAATCTACCTTTGCTATGGTACTCTGTTCGCTGTATGAACTACACCTTTCAAAGTATGTTCGCAACTTTTCGCACAACATGGGACTCAACATATCAGGTAACAAAGAAATTGCATGCAATTATTAGCACTTTTTTATTGCAGATGATCCCCAGAATGGACCTCAACACTAGCCCATAACGGTTCCTGACCTCAAATGATCCTCGATCGCTGTCGACTGCAAACTCAAGTTACTGGATCAAGTTTATTTTCACACCAAAAATTATTTTAACTGATTACAATTTGCTTCAAAAATAAATGCCACGAGGTTGGTTTGTTCCTCTTTAGGATATTTCTTTAGTAATTCTTAGTTTGTAACTATATATGTGACAGGGGGGGACAAGGCGGCCATGTTGGGGGTCAATCAGCAATAGAAATTTTTCTCGAAAAATTTACACGAAAATAGAGTTTTTAAAATTCCCAGTGGTGAGAAATGCTTTTGTTCTTGACCATCAACATGGCCGGGGTGACGTCACGTGTAAACCACCATATCTCTTTACTTCCTAATTCCTTAAAAAACAAGCTTAATTTCCTGTTCTTGACTGAGCAGGGCCGATATTGTCGTTATATTCATTTTACTGTTTTACGCCGTGTTCAAGTTCTCAGTACCTTTTCAGTTCTTTCAGGAGTTCTCTTGCGGTCGATAGAGGGGACCATTTGTCGTTGAGGATCATTTACTGTCCATTTTCGGGATCATTTGCCGTCCGGGACCATTTTCGGCACTGTACGCCGCAAAGCTAAAAGCTACGAGTGAGTTGTGTGACCAAAGGTGATTGTATGACTACACGATAGACCAATCAAAATGCAGCTATTGACACACCCCTCTCACACCCTTTTTAAATGCTAACTACTATTATCACACTAACTCACTAAACTAAGCCGCAATTTCTGAAAGGTTATCAATAGGCTCTTTTGTTTTTCAGTTGATTATTTAGCGTCAAAATATTACGTGTACAGATGAGTTCATATATCTACAGCAAAGTGAGCTGATTGTACGCGTTTCTTGATGGAGGCAATTTATCGGTGAATGCCCAATGCTAAACACTCAAGCAAGGTGAGCCTGTTATTCTGATTTCATTTGTTATTTCCATGATAACTGACTACAGCCGTAGATGCAGTAGTTACACACATAATTTATTGAGAAGGACGACATCAGACAGTAGATACAGAATATATTTCTGATATCGCGCATGTTATGCGTCTTCCAAGCTGTATTCCTGAGAACTGGGAAGCAGCAGCCGTTCCTTTAAACGCTTTTGTATTTTTATTAGCTTATACAAACCAGTTTGCAGAGTTGACAAACGACAATTAGACATAGTGTGTGCTTTATATTCTGTTCTAAGTGTATTGTGAAGTGAATAGACGCTACAGTGTTTAGGCAGTCAGCCGTATAAGTGGATCCACCGAGGTTGCTGCACGAATCTGTAATGACAAATGGCAATCATGCTGTTTGTGACTGTGTATCCACATATCCGCGTGATCATCTAATTTTGGTGCTGCTTCACGGAGTAGCATGAAAATATCGAGGAGTTGTAGAGTATAACTAACGGGCGACGTATGAAGCGTGAAACCTCTGTCGACTCTCTGACATTCGACTTCCTTATTAAGCTTTAATATACAAGTTAGTTTAGAACTTCCAGTAAATAAACCCTTAATGCAAATTAATAGTTGTATATGAACTAAACTCGGTATGTTTCAAAACTGAGTTCAGACATATTATTGATTCTTTACCGTATAAAACATTTTATACAGGTAAATTTTATTCAATTATGTTATAACATCTACGATCGACCAAACTGAAACGAATAATTAACAGAAATATAATTAATTATTGCAACTTGCCTTCAGGCGGTCCCTCCACAAAAGAATGCCTGACCACAGGTTAACGGAAATATGGCATTTTTCAACTACTCTCTTAATGTAGGAAACAATTGGTCTGATTCATAACATAACTTGTCCAATGAGGTCCACTTTGCACCGTTTAATTATTGATCGTTTTCACAATGAGCCCTTCTCTCGCCGTTCAACATATTCAAAACAAATGCACTCGTTAAGAATTTAGCTGTGTGTAACTCAGATGTAACTTTTTTAGTCGCTTTTATGGGTGAACGTTTGGGTTGTAAGTTCAACCTCCACGGTGATCCCCCTCACTATCAATGAGACAAAAACATGTCCTGTACAGACAGCATTGTCAGGTACTTCTTTTTCGCGTGGTATTTCGACGATGACACTCTAACTTGTATTATAACGGCCGACAGATTGCCCGCAACTGGAAGAACTTATGGCAACTTACCATAAGTAGTTTTATATACTTTACATCAATTAAGTACAAAGTTAACAAATAACCAAGTACAGCAACAGAATGTGTTTTCAGCTTTGTTTCGGGTGTATTTATGCACAAAAACATTTTGAATGGTTGCTTGCAAAATATATTTTTTTGTGTTAGTGGGGCAGGAACCCCTATGAACATTTGCGTGAGAGGCTGTTATACGCTTTACTGTAGAAATATATTTCACTCACAAAACTTGAAACGCTAGAATTTTAAATTTTTCTCGCAAAATCCGAATGTTGCAAATTGGCAGCAATCTTGTAGAAATATTAAGTAAAGTAGCTTAGCAACGGTTTGGTTGGTTACTAGGCTTGTCCACGTAAAGTCCGAGTTTACGAGCGCGTTCCATTGGGGTAATCCGAAACATGGTTTATACTTCAAGATCACTAGAATCAAGATGCATCAAAGGAACCGACGAATCCTTGTTCAGATGGAATTTAGCGGTTCCTCTGATGTAACATGATCGATCAGAGTGATCTTAGATCATTCTATCCTGATCCGACCATACAAAGCTGATTCAATAAATGTTGCTTTGGGCATTGGGAATTGCGCATTAGGAAGCTATTGTTTGGTGGTCACTAAAGTATTCATTGCATTTTCCATATGCCCAAATGCCCAATGCCTAATTACCGAAGCAACCTTTCTTGATTTAGCTGTACACACACTACTTAGTCTGTACTCCACGGGGTACGTCAGGAGATCAATTCTGTGCTGAAGTCATTACTAGGTGCTTAACCATACACAACTGAAATGCACCGTTAGAGATATGTCATATGAAAATTATATCAATCAAATTTCGTAAGAGAGTTCTGGCCATAAAAAATACTTCGGTGATTTTCGAGGCATAGCATTAAACCTTGAAAAAGTTGGTCAAACTCCATGTCCATCCTTGCCATTCTTTGCAATCGACGACAGGAAAAAGTTTCCTTAAATAACTGCACTGGACCATTAGATTTGGAGTTCAGTTGATGGGAAAACGTTTTAGCTTTTTAAAAAGTTAGCCGCGAATATCGTGACATAGCCCCTTAAAAACTCGACGGACTCAAAAGTGGACATAGCTTTAGCAGGGGAACCCAACGGCAATTTTCGGGAAAATATCTGTTCGGAAGACGATTTGAGAACTAGAATTTTCGGAACACTTGTTGTAAAATTTCTTGCTTGCCTGCCTCTCCTAGGATTTTCGAACATCTACAAAATGGTGTAATTACCCATTTGAAACGGATATTTACCCTAAAAAAGGCCACCTAGAATTCTCGGGAGCCTTTTCCTGGCTGAAATTTTCGAAAAGGTAAGTTTTGAGCCCTATAATTTTCGGATCACTAGACTTTCAGCTAGGAAATCCGAACAGATGAAAAGTTTTTAGGGGATAAAAATATGGCTATATCTACCGTTTGAATACTAAAATACGTTCAACAATGCTATGTTAAGTGGTTTTGAACTATATCCTCGTTGGGTGCCCCTGCTTTAGATTGCGACTAATCAGTTCTTTGTGTAATTTTATTACTGTTTGCAGGAGGACCTACAGAACGCGCACAACATTCATGAAAGGCATGGAATTTTAAAGCGAACAAAAAGAGGCAATGAATCCAAAGGAAGCAAAGATTTTCTCTCTGGAGGAAGTGTCATTTCATGCTGACCAAAACTCATGCTGGATCGTAATAAAAGATGGAGTTTACGATATGACTGACTTTGTTGAGAAGGTATGAAATGTTAAACTGGTCTTCGAGTAGCCGCTTCATCCTACAGAAAAGCTAATGTTTAGTTAATATACAAAAGACGATCAATAATCGCAACTACGAAGCAAACTCAGTTCCTGTGACTGTAACAGAACATTTGAGGTTTGAATTTAAAGTTCCCAGCCTCGTCCCCAGGGATCGAGAATAGTCCCAGGTATTCTCTTAACTGCATGATATTCCCTGTATATTCCGTATAATGAAATAGCTGAAATCGCAGCCAACCCACTCTAAGCTTACATTTTTAAAGCAAGCTCAAACGGTCCGTCTTTGACAGGTGCCCCCTCCCCCATCCCCCAGAGTGTCAAAGAAAAAGACTGATGGAACACTGAGACTGTCCTCTTGTTAATGATAGCACTTTTCACATCTTTCAAAATAAGTAGCTTTAGGAGACATTTTCTTCATATCTTTTTTAGCATCCTGGTGGAAAAGAAATCATGCTAGAACACGCAGGTGAGTCACCCGGGGTGAGTCAGCCATTAAGAGCGGTGTAGTGTAATCCAATTCATACCCGGCAAATGAAAGAACGTCATACGATGGTTCGGATAACGCCAGGGTGCATTGAAGACTTGGTCAGTTCGAGGACACTGACTCACGGACAGATAACTTTTCGTGCTATTTTATAAATGAATGATCTTCAGGTTAAAATGGGCCATTTGCACGATGACGTCTTTTTACTACTAAGACCAGAATTCATTTCGTTTTTCCTTTCATATTTAAATTTGGTAGTCCCAGTGAGGTTTTATTAACAAAAGCCTTAATTTGCACAAGAAAGCAATACCCTGAAGGATTCCGGTCGTAGTAGTAAAATGACGCCATCGTGCAAATGGCCTATTTCATGCAATAAAACTCAACTTTAATGAAACAGCGACTTCTTGTCACGTCATTCTTTTCATAGGTTTTAGCTCATTCTCTCTCGGTTTTATAAAATACAAATAAGAAAGATTCTGGACATTCTTTGTTAGACACAAACTAATCCTTTCACCCTAAGAGGGTAGCTTAGCTTTTGGGTCAAATAGTCCTGGAAGGGTAACAAAGAAGGTCAAATATAAATAAATATGATTTTGCATTTTATAAAGGCGAAACTAATTTTTTCAAGTTGCAATCCATTTCTTTTCTTCTCCTACCCTTAATTCTGGGACTGATTGAAGCCAATTGTTAACTTCCACTGCCTCACGAAAGACATACGTCTTTTAACCCTCTCTCAAGGTTTGGATGCGACAACGGTATTCCAAGACATTGGTCACTCAGCAGAAGCCTTAAAGATTCTCGCAAAATACTATATTGGTGAGCTGAGAGAGGTGAGGATACATGCAAACACTACCTACATTATATAATTAGGCTATGCAGGGGCCGATCCAGGATTTCTTTTAGGATGGGGTGCACTCGTCTCTTGCTCTACTTCAACTTCTTCTTTGCAGAAAACCAGTTGTATTAGGAAACCGCAGGTCATCTCGGGGGGGGGGTGCGCACCTCCTGCACCCTCCCCCTAGATCCGCCCCTGCTATGTTACCCATACCGGATGGCTTTTTCGCCGGTACGAAAACAGTACCGGATAGGGATTCTGTTCACACACAAGAACAGTGATTTCAGTGCAATTTCTTTAACGGAGCGAGTCGATCTCTAATAAAAAAGGAGAAGCACAGGTGTTCACACCATACCGAATAGCTTTTCGTTTCGGCACGAAAAGCCCGGGGGGCACTTTAGGAATTTCTGAGTGGGGATGTGCCGCTGGGACCCTGGAACCCTGGAACCCCTAACCTATACCAGAGCTAGTTCAGCTGAATTTTGCTACCCTATACTAGAGTAAACTCCCAAAATCCCCCTATGGCCTAGAGTAGCTGTTTCCCCAGTCTAGATAAAATCTTCAACCAACTGATCAGTTTCCTGAAAAATGATACCCTATTCTAGACCCAAACGCTCTGATTTATATACCCTATCCTAGAGTAAACTGCTTGAAAACCATACCCTTCACAGCGGCACATACCCATATAGCTCATATATGACAGTACCCCCCCCCACGAAAAGCTATTCGGTATAGTATCAGTGCCACCCAACGACTGTTTTCTGTAAAATATCTGTTTGGAGAAGCAAATATTGCCTATAATTTTCTTTTTCTTGAGGACGGCTAAAAATTTGTAGATGAACGTTCCATTCATGTACAATTTTCGAAGCTTATATAAGAAATTTCCTACAATTTTCTGAGGTTTAATTTTTCATATTTTACAACTCAGCATACACTATTTTTCTTAGAAAAAGGAAACTTAAAATTTTCGGATTCTAAAATGTGATGGAGAGAGGAATCAAAAAAATTCTCACTTTAGTAAAACGTTAAATTGCACCTAAAATTCAGTTCGGAAAAATATTATGAAGCCCTGGTAATTTCGAAAAGACTTTTAAGTCTTTTCGAAGTTAAAAAATTTGGTAGCGTCGCTTAGAATGCATTTCTAGAGATCCAAAAGTACTCTGGATAGCCTAAAAGTGTTTTCAACGCATTTTGGAGGAAACCGAAGCTGGGTGCCCCTGTAGTATAAACTTAGCGTTAGTATATAGGGTAAAAGAAAGTCACTTTCCTAAAACAATCATTCAAAGAGAAAGCTAGCTGGCTAGAACGAACGGCCAAGCATAACCTCCAACTACGCAACCCTTTTAGTTTTTGAACACCAGTCAGACTTAATTCACACTCATAAGAAATTGCATAGAATGTTTTAACGCGCGCAAGCTCATTGTTTGGGTGACAAAACGTCGTGTCTTTTTTTCGCCAACTCTGGTACTATTAACGCACTACAAAATGTTTTATACTAAAGTTAACTTTGACTCTTTATTGTAGGAAGAAAGAATCTATGGCAGCAGGCCTAAGCATTGACAAACAAAGGTATAAATAATACTCACACTCTGGTTACCGTACATCCCCCGTTAAACACCCCCCCCCCCCCTCTCTCTAATAAGCCCTCCCCCTTTTTCAGGGGGAAAAAGTTCAAGCCCCACTTCTCTTTTCACGTGGTAGTTTGTACAATGACATCAATGAAATTTACCAGAAAACTTGACATACACGTGCATCATTGCTGCTGTTACCACCTTTGTGGTTGCATATGCTTATTTCCTGGTAGCAGTTTTCGCTTAGGATGAGAGTGAATATATAAAGTTAAATTTTCATATATTTCAACTGCGGTAGAAAGATTTAACAATTGAGAGAGCATCGCAGTTTTGTACGCAACTTAGTTAACATTTGCACAGTTATTTCAGTGCAATTTCTTTAACGGAGCGAGTCGATCTCTAATATAAAAGGAGAAGCACAGGTGTTCACACCATACCGAACAGCTTTTCGTTTCGGCACGAAAAGCGACGAAAAGCTATTCGGTGTGGTATCAGGGGCACCCAACGACTGTTTTCTGTATAATATCTGTTCGGAGAAGCAAATATTGCCTAGAATTTTCTTTTTCTTGAGGACGGCTATAAATTTCTAGATGAACGTTCCATTCATGTACAATTTTCGAAGCTTATGTAATAAATTTCCTACAATTTTCTGAGGTTTAATTTTCATATTTTCATATACAATCATTCAAAGAGAAAGCTAGCTGGCTAGAACGAGCGGAGTAAATCCCCCGTTAAACACCCCACCCCCCCCCCTCTCTCTAATAAGCCCTCCCCCTTTTTCAGGGGGAAAAAGTTCAAGCCCCTCCTCTCTTTTCACGTGGTAGTTTGTGCAATGACATTAATGAAATTTACCAGAGAACTTGACATGCACGTGCATCATTGCTGCTGTTACCACCTTTGTGGTTGCATATGCTTATTTCCTGGTAACAGTTTTCGCTTAGGATGAAAGTGAATATATAAAGTTAAATTTTCATATATTTAAAGTGCGGTAGAAAGATTTAACAATTGAGAGAGCATGACAGTTTTGTACGCAACTTAGTAAACATTTGCAAAAATGTCACTTACCCTTTGACGCCTTTTACGCATTTAAAACTCCTTCAAATGTTGCCTGCTCACAGAATTACTACAGAAAACAGTGTTATTGTTAGATTTCATGTAACATGAAAGTAGTTAGCAAGGAAATCGTCGATTCAGGTCTTAGTTGTGTTTGTATCAGGGCGAGCGAAGACTGTCAAGGAGACGACCATTAATTCGGCTTTTGAAGGGGGGTATGCGTAATTTGGTTTGGGTAAGAATTTTTTCCCAAACCTTTAGTGAAAGAATTTTTTCCTTGACATACATCGGTGTAAGATTTTTATTTCCAGGTTTGTACTCCACGAAAGATTTTTTTTTCGGTGTGCAGGATATATATTTTTTTAAATCACCCATAACCCCCCCCCCCCCCAAAAAAAGTCCAATTGTCTTTTCCTAATGCGAGGACGCGAAAAGAAACGGGAGAGCACAAGTTTTTTTTTTTCTTTTCTTTCTAGGCCGGGTGCAGTTTAGCCTCCCAAATAGGCGTTTTTTGTTCAAAGCTGGGTTAAGATAACATAGAGTTAATGTGAAATTGGAATTCAGATATCGAAGGTTAAAAGCAAATTCAGCTGAATTCTTTTTGTGTGCTATTTGATGGTTGGATGCCTTGAAAAGAATAGAAAAATTATCCGAGGAAAAGCTTTTGAACAAAAGAAGAAGAAGCCCGGATTAAAATTTATTCCCCGACTGAGCGCTAAGTCAGTCTTCGAAGAACTGTACCCTGGTTAGCACGTTTTTTGTCTCTCTTTAGGATCCATTCGAAAACTCTTTAAGTTGGTACGGGTGGCAGTCACGAATTTCACAGCCCCTCCAAATATCACAATAGAAGCGAGGCAGAAGAGAGAGGACTAGGACATAAACAGCACATGATGAGCACTCGAAGCTGGCGAGGAGTCATTCGTATTAACATTTATCTATTAACATCCGTTAAATAAGAATTAAGATAAGAACTGTTGCGAAGATAAGCCGAACACTCGAACTCCGCATGCAAAAACCGTATTTTTATTCTACAAAAGATAAACTTCCACATTTCGAATAGATCCAGATCCAAATCAACTGTGTGAAGTCCAATTTACAATGAAGTTCAATTAGGTGCAAATGAATTATATACCGTATATCCCACGCACGAGTTGAGGTTTTCTAAAACCAAAATATGAGCTTACAATAAGTTCAATGTTTAAAAGTTCGAAAGTAAACGTCCGAAATACAAGAAAACTTACCGACTGTTTTAAGTTCTACAAGCAGATGCTTCCAAAAGGACAAACTTACAAGGAATCAGGTTTCAAAAACGTGTGGTTACAAAGCAGACACGGAATACGTGCGCAGTGGTAGCAACAGGAAGGAAGTTCAATTCGTTTACTTCGAATAGAAGGACTTTCCACTGATAGATAATACAGTCAATTCTCTCTAAGAGGGCCGGCCCTGACTGTCTGTCTTAGTGAGGCGTCGAGGTAACGTGACAACAGTAATTGTGAGAAATCATCACAACCCAAGAACCCATTCGCAATGAAACGACGTCGGTTTAACTTCTCCTAACAGCTAAAACTGGGATATTGTAGCAGAAACTGTCATGCAGAGCACCTACATTTCCGTTTTGAGGTATTTTTCACTGGACATAAATCACCTCTCAAATGTCTGTTAACGGTTTCAAAAGTGTCTGTCGTCCGTCTCAAAGAAGTTTCCGTCTTATAGAGAGTATAGTTACAGTAAAATGACTGAAAAACGGCAGGGACCAACACCAGGTGTCCATCTTAGAGTGGGAGGTCCGTAGAGAGAGAGTTGACTGTAAAAATACTGAAAGGAATTAGAAAGTATAAAAAAATTATTCAAAACAATGCAATACTAAAATACTTAACATCATCGTCATGCTATTTTCTCCTGCAAAAATGAGCAAATATCTGGAGTCAAGGTTTACCTTTAGAAAAATAAACACGGGGCTGACGTCTCTAAGAAACTTTGTTTTGAATATTCAGGAATCTTGGGACAAGCTGTCCAACGGCCTTTTGTTCTGAGGTATTTAAAACTGAAAAGAGTGATAATATTCTAGCACTACTTGAGCAACGTATGCGGCACAGTCGCTTTAATGAAGTGAAGCTCAAATACTAATAAATTTAAAGCCGACAGAGTAAAAATTAGACATTCCACGGCTGAGTCAACGACGAAGGAGCTGATAAAAATTTCATATAGCTTGGAATAAAATGCAGCAGGGCCACTGAGTGCAGTGATTTCTTTGATCTCAAAAAGCAAGATAGTTTCAAAAGTCAAAAAACCAATTTGAGGGCAAAAACTGTTTCGCACATTTAGGGTGAATGCAAAAACAAAAAACGAAAACGCGTGATAGGTTGGCTTGAAATCTTAACGTCCTGCCCTGCAGCCAACAACAACTTTCTTTACACCGGATATCATCAGCCAAAACCCCCACATCGACATGGCAAACAGATTTGAAAGACTGTTGTCCACAAGCTGACCATCCCAACGTCGGTGTCAAATAGTGAGTTGATCCTTTGCATTCAATGGGCAACCTCGTCTGCTGGCAACAAAGTGCAATAAGTTGCAGATCTGATCAACATCAAGTCCAGTACCACAACGCAGCAGCAGTTAAACTTTACAAACCTCAAGAAAGTCTCTTTATGATTGTATGCTACATAAATCCGGCCCGTCGTGGTCATTGAAAGTTCCTGACCGTTTGGCGGTGAGACGCAGATTCCTTCGAGTAACCTCTTCCTTCCTCTGAGGGCAGCTCAAGGCCAGTATTGACAAGCAACAGACAATTTGAAAAAATCGTAATTTCCTCCCTTTATGGCTAGCTATTGTAACTGAACCTGACTATCAGAAGCCTTCCCTCATTGGCCTCTTCCTGTCTTCAATTGTGCTTGTAGCAAATGCGGTACTTCGGTTACACAAAATTATGATCACTAATAAGCTTCGTGTCTTAAAAATTAAACAACTGTTGGGTCTTTCCTAGTTAAGTAGTTCTTCAGTGTGTAAACAAATCTAATTTTCAATAAGTACGTATTCCAATGTCGTAGCCGTTTTTGTTTTGTTTGGATATTTAAATCGTTTGCAACAAATGCTCCATAAAATACTTGACTGCCGTTGAAAGCCCTTTATTTGAACTGTTTCTTCCTCGATGGCTTTTTCGTTTTCTCCGGGCATTCGTGGGGTGTTTCTTTCCACACTGTTCCTTCCTCAGTGTAGTAAGGCCCCAAGTTCCAAATAAACTGCTCATGATTCCGCTTTTCTCTGCATATCTGTTTGCCGTCTCGAGTGCACTTATAACACACGTACTGAAGAGTATCACCCATCCAAGAATGAGCGAAGGGACAGCGGCTTGTAATGTTGATGTCCCAGCCTTCGCTTGTATGAGTATCGCATTCCCTTGACTTTTCAGCGGAAAGTACCCCTGCACCATGATGAAGCTTCCCTGTTTTTTTGTCAACACATGTGGCTTGGAAGGTGCGCTTATCCAAACCACGAGTGCCCTCGACGGACTTCCATTTTCGATGTTTAACACACATTAAATTCCAGGGACCACTTTGCTGACTGGTGAGGGGGGGTTTTGACGTCTGCTCTTCTGGTGGAGTGCTCTTAAGTTGCAGGGCAGACGAGTACGAGGCATGACTTGATGTAGTTGGCTCATTAACGCTATCAACACTTTCCCAGGATAACTTCGCACTTTGGACATGGGTATTGAAGCACTTGGACGAAAGAGAGAAGTTTTTTGCTTTCTTTGGAGCGTTCATCTTTAATTCAAATAGTTTCCTTTCTCCACTTTCGCTGGCACTGGAACACAAGATGGTGTATGTATCATTGTCGACTGGGTCATATGCATAAGGGCCAGAGACAGAAAATCCAACATAAAACCACAAGTCATCTTTGCTCTGCTTTGGATAGCGTTTTTCGTCAAAGCGTAGCTGAATTCCTTTGTATGTTATAACACCATTAGAATTGACGTCCTTTTGACCACGTACTCGTTCCAGCTTCTCTGACACCTCCTTACTTCTCCAAAAGTCAGTCTTAGTTTCCCCTTTGGTATCCAGCGCTGGGAACTGTAGGCTGTTTGCAATGGCGTACAGACCAGTTCCCTTCCCAAGGAAATAGTCAGCACTAGATTTGCGAAATCCTTTTCCCGTTTTTTCCAGAACAATCTGATTACATTTCTTGATCGATTCGTTAGCTTCATGATTGAAGGTGGCTAGGCATTTATCGGGAACTGGAAAATGAATCATGTAGTTGTATAGATTGGCCCACGCTGATGTCGGACACTTTGAAACCCAAATGCTCACAATTTTGTCGAGTTCCATTACTGATGGCCTCTCTTTTAAACGAAGGCACGCTTTGCAGCAGATTAACATGTCGTCATGGCTTCCCTTTCCATTCGAGCAAAGTACCTTAAGCGCGTTGTAAATCAGGGAAGCTCGTTCGTCATTTATGTTCACCCAAGTACTGTATGGAGTTTCACTGTTCTTAAACAAGATATCTTGGGCAAACTGTTGGTAAAAAGCTATCTCATCCCTTGTTAGCGATTGGGAAGGCATCGGAACTTCCACATCATTGATTTCACTTCTGTCAAAACCGGTTAGTTCATAAAAAGTTCGTCGTAGTTTTGACGCCCTTATTCTAGCGTCATTTAAAACTCTGATGGCGTTCTCGTCGTAGGTGGTCATGTGCCTGAACTTAACATCTCCAAAGACTTTGTTGAGAAGACCAAGTGTTGTGGTACTTAGTGTCTTAATGTAGTTGTTTTGTTTCTTAGTGAGTACGTCTTCCATTTCTTTCGGAATTTCACCTTTCTTCAGATACTGTGTAATGCTCTCAATATCTGATCGAAAGAAAGGCAATCCTTTGACAACTTCAAAAAGTGAAACGATGGCTTGAATTTTTCCAATCATCGAGTAGTAATCAAGTTGATGTGTTGTGCTTAGTGCTATGTCATAGACTTCTAATGCTTTGCGGCAGATGTCGATCACTTTAGGCACTGAGGCAAGAACGGAAGGTCGCTCTGCATTTGGTTTGAAATCTCTTAGCTGCAGAAGGTACAGAGTTCCTTTGGTACCATAGTGATGACTTCTCTTGGGTTGCTGCTTTATGGCAATATCAACTGCCATATGTGCTGCTTCAATACCCGTTTTAGGCATGGGTAACTTGGGGTCCTGTTCTTTATTCATGGCTGCTTGAAGACGGTTATGTTGCTCGTTCTTGTCATCCATTTCATTTCCACGCATTTCGTATCCCATGAATCGTGCAAGCTGCTGCCAAGCGTAAGCCTTATTCTCATGTTCAAAGGCCATTTCACAGATTGTGGTGAATAATCGGAGGGCTCTTTGAATACCATCATCTGCTTTCAGGATATCCAATACCAAAGGAGAATACCTTGTTTTAACTTCGTAAAACCCAAGTACCTCGTCCTCAAAGTCAGATTCAATGCTTCCATCATCTGTTCCTTTATCCTCGAGAAAAACTGCGTCGGAAATTTTCTTACGTGCCAAGAACACCTTAAAAACTTCATCCTTCAAATACTTGTTTACATAGGCTTTTCCTTTGTTAGTTGCGTCTAGTAAAGCGATAGCTGTGTCTTCGATGTTGAGTTTTGATGTAACGGCTTCACTGACGAGAGAGTGTGCCGGCCTCCATCCAAAGTAACCATTTTTTTCATTAAATCCTTCAAGGAGAAGTCCTCCAAAAATGTCATGAATGCGCTGCATTAAGGCGAAATCTTGTTCAGACTCATTGCTGGCTTCATAGAGAAAATCACTGACAACTGGGTGGGGAAGAATTGCTCGGCTATCACTGTAATAATGAAGAAAGCAACAGAAATTTAGGACCATTTCATGACTGTCTTTAGAATCGTCCAACAACTCAAGTGTGCTCCTGATGTGATTTTGAAGCCTCTCCTCAATCTTGTCGTAGTTGCGTCCAAATAACTCCAGTCCAAACCAAATGAATCGTTTCTCTCTTTCAAGAACCTCTTGTGCGCCCCTTCTTCGCTCGTTGTCACTTGTAATAGTGATCAAAATATTCTTCACGCGACTCATCTCTTTCTCGTCCAGTTGTCGCAAGGACAAGTCGTGATCGGAGTCGGCGCTAGACTTTGCGATTGGACAAGTAGAAAGAATGACGCACTTAGTCTGCCTTTTCAAGATCTTCTCCGTTAAGCGTCTTGTCTCGTTTTCGGGGAAGTTATCGACCAGGACTATACAGGGAGGGGAAAATTTAAAGTTTTCTTCGTCATACATGATCCCCTGAAGTTGTTCGATTTGAAAATCAGTACTGGGTGTAATTGCCTTGACTACTGCGCAGCGGTATTCCTCGCGCTTGCTCCACAAGATTCTTCTGCACATAGTAGTTGCCCCAGACCCCGGTTCGTAGGTAACAGTGACAGTTTTGACGTGACAAGTGAGGTCCTTAATTGGCTTAGACAACGACTTCAATGCTTGCCCAGTTCTTAAAAGCGTCTCGTCTTCTAGTGATCTTGGAATACAATGATTGTGAAACAAATTAGTTTGGCTAGCTTGTGCACCCTTGTAAAAGGCATTTCTTTCTTTCTCAATATCTTCCAGTAAACTCGGCAGCCGGGGATTTGGACTGTAGACTTCTAAATCATTCCAAGAGTTAATAATTTTGTTGAAAACTTCCTTGAGACCAGTAAAATATGGGAGTTCCGTCTTAGCTCCTCTTTCGTCAAACTTGGTTGGTCCAACCATTTCACGGACGACTTCTTTCAACAATTTCCACGGAATCCCAGGGATGGAGCATTCTATAATTTCCCTCTGCAGCTTAGAAGCTTTGATAAAGGCCTCAGACACATGCTTGTTTTCACTCATGATAGTGATGCTGTTGCTTGCAGATTTTCCAAGGATACTAAAACAACATTCCATCATATCGACCATCTCCTGGACATTGGTTTCATCAAGAACAAGAAAGACGCATAAAAGCCGTCCGAGGGGACAACAGCGTTTATACGTGGAAAGAGCGCGATAGAAACAGTCCCGGGAACATTTTATCCAGTCTTCTTTCAACATTTCCTCATTTCCCAAAATCCAGGTCGTTTCTCGGGTTGATATGTGGAAGTCGTTTCCAGATATCCAGTCAGACAGACATTCCCCATAATCTTCGAGGTTTCTCAGATTAGCTCTCAGTGCATCTGTTGTTTCGTTGCAAATGTAGTACAGTCCATCTTTTTTAGACGCAGTATCAAACAAATCAAATACTGCAAGCCACGGGATGTTTTGCAGAAAAGACAAATCTGGCGTACCTCTGTAACGGGAGGGCAACTTGTTGGCAATTAACACGTAACTAAATTCCTTAAAGTTCAATTCCCGTAGCCTCTCTCTTACCAAAGTACTTAGCCTTTTGACGTCTGCATCATCTGGGATAGGATCTGAAACACAGAACAGGTTTATGCGTAATAATTCCATGGTAGGATCTATTTTGAATGAGACAGACTGTATCAACATTACTTAAGACTTCTGACAATAACAATAACAAATATAAAACTTGCTACCATCGGCATGCAGGGCGATAGTTTACTGGTAATGGTGTGTGTTTAAGTAGATATCAGGCCGGTAAACAGTACACCAAGGACACAGTTGATCCATGAGAAGTAGATACTTAATTAGTTTATAGGTTCGCTACGAATACCTAGATGTGTCCTTCGTTCGGTGAAACCAGAGGATGTCAGAGAAACAGAAAAAAAAACAACACTATAACCTTTGTACAAAATCACGAAGGATGTACTTACCTTCTGTTGACATATCAGCGCCTGTTATAAAGGAAAAGAAAACAACTTAGAAAGCTTTTATTGAGTGTGAATAAAATAGAAAAACACTCGGTACTCGTCTACCGACAACGGCTCTTTAACTTCGTCGACGCTTCCGTTAACGGCTAGAGTCATTAAGGTTACAAACTGCCTTGACCAGTCAGTCCTCTCAGCAGTACCAATCAGCTTTCTAGTAATCATCTCGCCTATTTGACGGGAACATTTTTATACCAGGAGCTTTATCCTCCAGGATTTGAAGAAAAGTACTTTTTTTGTCATTTTTGTTGTTGTCTTTGTTCTATATTTCTGTTTGTTCTTATGACGTCGTCCACATCCACTTTTAAATCATTAGGCAGAATTCTTTAGAGGTCGAGTTGGGCAACCTTCCTTCCCCATTCCATTCACGGGTTACTCTAAGATAATTTAGTAATTGATTTTAAGTCATATCACTTGTGGCTAGAGAAAGAATTTGATAACGTTAAATCTTTATGACACTAACCAAGTTTTGTGTCCCTCTTCCATTCCTTGTACTTCGCCATAAGAGGTTCTTTCACTTGCCGATTAACCTCATGCTGCTTCACGTTTGTTGAGGCGCCATTGGTCCTAATGGCTGCGTCGTCATACTGATCTTTGTGGACTTTGTAGAAGTCGCTAAGGGCCTTCTTCACGAATGTGTCTTCATCTTTGTGAACTCCTCGCTTTTCAGCCCAGGATTTGCAATAGTAAACGTTGTCCTTACAAAACTTCCAGTCTCGGTTCACTTCAATTTCAATGACATAAAGACCTGTACGACTTTCTTGGCTTACTACTGGAACAAACTCTATTCTGACACAATTCTGCTCCCCTCCCTTCTGAAGTGGGCCAGCATCACTCTTAATGTGATCATCAAGAACAAATTGGAAAGCTTTAACAACATCATCAATGACATCTTCAACATCGAGTCCGAGAATTTCTCCTCGTTTAAACTTGGAACATTGCTCTTGTGAGTCTCCGACTCCGAAGTAGATTATTCCTTTACTATCAGCATTTAAACAGGCACAAATGAACTTTTTTGCTTTCTCCATCATTTTCCAAGGGAGTGTTGAGGGGTGTGCACCAGTAAGAGATTTGAATTCTACTTCTCTGTTTTCCTCTGCATCCAGGACAGAGCCTTTCTGATAAGAGTGGTCTTTCCCTTTAATGCCGAACATCCTGGTTTTACCTGAATAATAGTTAAAACAAAGTCTATCAGAATGTGCAAAGTGCTAATTTCATTTACAAAGTTGCATCTCCTGCAGGGGGCTGCAAAATATTTCTGCTCTTCCTATTTTGATTGGAATAAAATGACAATTTGTAAATACTCGTCGAACTTTCATAAGTTAACATGTCAAAATAAAATGCTGAATATATAAATTTCATATAAAATATTAAGTTGCTCACATTTAGAAGCTAATGCAGAAGCATCTTTGTGACTTTCTTTCTCCTGTTCACTCTTTGCCACTAGAGTTACTTGCTTATTAAGGGTAGTACCACAACGTTCCTCTTTGTTGTTGCCAGAAACCTCCTCTACTTTCTGTTCTTTTTCGGCCATCGATTTATCTTTTCTTTCAGATGGTTCCGTGGTGGAAGCAACCAACTCACTCGCAGTAATCTGCACTGAATTGTTGTTCAAGTCAGACACTGAATTCAATCTTGAAGTATCGCCACAAGCTGGTTTATCCTGTGCGTCCTCACACTTTCTTGCGTTTTCGTTTGAACAGCAGTTAAAATCAGATGACGACAAACCTTTTGGAACGAATGCCAAATAGCCCCGGTTACAACAATTACGACTCGTATGAACTGAGCCTAACTGAACTGGAAATTATTCCTGCCAATTTGGCTTCAACATACATGGCGTATACAACTCTGTAAAAAACGAGACCATCAATAGGACTATTGGATGCATTCTCACTGATTTCAAAATGGCTTACATCAAACCAGAGCGGACTGATGGTCGATCTCACTATTTCCTATGATGATTTTTTGGCATCGATTATTTGACAGATTTGTCTATAATAAGGACTCTAAAAGGTTTTACTGTATACCTTGTTCAAGCCATCCTCGGAGACCCAGAAGCGATCAGTAGGGTCAGGAAAAACGGCGACGAAAGTTTTTAAGAACGGTGCCGCCGTTTTTCTCGCACCGACTGACTGCCCATTGGTCTCCGAGGATGTGTTCAAGCTAAATGGTAGACCAATATCTTAAAAGTACTCTATACCTACTTTTCTCATCCAAGGATATATGGCTTTCCTTCTTGCACTTTCCATGGATCTGATTAGTTTGATTAATCCCCTTTTGGAGCTCATTCCAGTTCGTCATTTCGTCATCTGCATTTGAAAGGTGGCCACTTCCTTTCGATGGATCCGGAACCTTCTTGTGATTTGCGTCTTTCTTATCGGCTTCCAGGTCATCACACACACTACATGTCAACGAATTGGGCCTATCGTCATCTTGGCTACCGGCTACAATCACTTCGATGGTTTGTTTGTAACAATCGTCAACTGTATCAACACTTGTACTTTGGTCCCCTTGATCTATTCAACAACAAAAAACGCAATTCAATAAATGCCGAAACTGGACGATAGACATTTTTCAAAAAATCCACTACTGGGAAGAACACCCTAAAATCAGTAAACTTGCCAAGATTGAAATTGATTTGTTGTAATTTTACAGACGTTTGTATGGTGTGGGGTAAGTTCGTGCTCCCACTATACTAACGTCTGTAAAATCTAGCGACTTTGTAGAGCTATATCTTCGCTCACTTTGGACCTTTAAACTTGGTTCGCCAGTTTAATAATTTTAAGGCGATCTTTCCAATAGTATCGATGAACATTCGCTTACTGGTCTTCGGCAAAACTTGAAAAAACAATGCCAAAAAATGGTCTTTTTTACCAAAACGAAATTGACCGGGAGAAAAAAAATGAAAGAAATGGGCAATTTTGCCTCAACATGATTTTGAGGGCAAGTTTGCCTGTCTTAGAGTTTACCGTCTGTGAGAATTCGCAAATCTGGTCTCTTTTACCTTCGCCCTCAGAGCGCCATCTGGTAACTTATAAATTTTTGACCATTAGACTATTCTAGGTTTAAATAGAAACAGAAACATGCCAAAACCTAAAATATGTGACTGAAAAGCATTAGGTGAGATAATGATGTGATCTGAGCAACTACAGACGATTTTTATCCGTCGTAAAACTTGATCATTAATCCATCAAGTAACAGAAATTAAGGTTGTTGGACACTTAGTAACACGGCTTCGGCAATAGCCTGCCCCGCAGGCGTCGAAAAGGGTAGGGATGGGGGGAAGGGAAACGCGAGGGATATTGGTAACAAAGAGTCACAACACTCTTCAGTACGCAGGCTACTTCGGCAATGGCTGTCACAATTATGACTAATCATTTAAAAGATGATTTTGAATTGGAGTTAGTCGATTATTTTTATTCAGTGATAGCATTGCTATACAAGCACTAATATGGAAATAAACAATGAACCCATGTTCTCGCTTGACGAGTTCCAGTGTGTTGTTATGAAACCAAAAATATGTTCTATAATCGGGGACTAAACTAACTAAAATCCAAAACAATACAAAAAAAAACAGAAGAATGCAAATTCAAAAGCTTTTTTACTAACCGGCAGCTCCCTCTGTCAGTTCGTGTCTCGCATCTTGGTCGTTGTCGGTCTCTCTTTTTCTACTGGTGCTGGTATCTCCACGGTTTTCAGCTAGATGTCTATGCTCATTTACACTTGACACGAGAGTCCCTTCGCTTGCCAGCAGATCTTCTTTATAATGTTCGGCGTGATCGGCATTTAAATCTTCGGCTTTTTTATCTAGTTTAGTAGAACATAACATTACAATGTTTGCAATAATATCACGTGCGCAAGTAATAAGAAGGAAGAAAGAAAACAAGGGAACGGGAAAAGAGTAAAAAATGAGGTGATTTTCATTATTTTCAAATTTTTGTATTTTTAATGTGAAAGTTTCTTAAACAATTAAAAGTAAAGAAGATCATCATAACTGTAGACACAACTCTAGAAGAATTAAAGCTAATTAACTTTGCACTTAAAATTCCCACCGAAGATGAAAGGTAGTATTGCACACTTTAATTCAGTAGTATACTGAAGATACCCACCCGCCGGCAATGGAACTTCGAATTCTTGACTCCCCTTTCCAGCTTCCACGGAACATTCATCGCTCCTGATTTCACGTTCAATCTGTTCATCTCGTGCGAACTTTTCATTTGTAGCAATGGGCGTCGTCTCTGTTTCGTCTGCCTTCTCCTCTCTGGAACCACCTGTTGTCGAGGTACCTGCTTGGTTGCGATGATCGGCATTTATTTTCGAAAAAAGAAAGCATATAAAAAGCAAACTAGACATGAGTGTAGACAGAGGTAAGAGTGAAGTCGTAATAGATATATTTTTCTCGTTCAAAGACCACGACAAATACGTTATACATGCCAAATTATGGCGTCGCCGCAAATTTCCCTTTAGTAAACGGTCGCTGCCATTTTTAGGACAATTATTATTGAGAGTGTTTCCATTAAAAAGAAAACTGGACCTCGAACCCGGACCTTTCGTATCCTAAGCTCTCTCGAGCTCCCTTACCACTAGAGTGACACATCGACCCTCCGAAATTCCGAAAAATTTAGGAACACAAATTAGCAAATTGTATTTCTGGACTGATACATCAATAACATGTGACCCTAGCCCTTTCCATAAGTTTTTAGGTAAATTCAACTTCGGCTTCAACGTTGTTCTTTCTAAGACTGTTCAAAAACCTATTATTTGCCTTATTGTAACTAAACCCAGGGAAGACAGCAAAAGCCCGCGACTGAGAACCTGGATTTTTCTATGCAGGCTAGCCTAAACAGGTTCTTAAAAAAATGGTTAACTTAGCAAAAGTTTAGCCCTAAAGATGGAAAGATCTATCCTCGCTGATTTTGTAAATTACCTAGTAGCTTAAATATAAAGCTTAATCACAAGAAGAATAATATGCATGGGTCCATATGGACCAAAAACGGCCAAAGCGGACGTCAACATGAGAATTGCTTTTTTCTTCGGTTTACAGACGTGCTTTATGCTGAATTGGTAAATTCAACCATTTTATGTGGAAAATGGCCAATTTCAAACAATTTGGTAACGTCCATTAACCAGTGACCATTTATGTCATTCTCTGTTGTAACCAAGAGTCAAAGAACCAGCTGAAAGTTTAAAATGACCACGTTTATCGCAGCTAAGATCCTCCTAACCTGTCTCTTTATGATATTTGTTGAACCAATGTCTGCTGAATTTAAAGGCTTGGCCAAAGCGTAAACCTAAATCCTGCAAAAAAGAACAGTCAGCGACCATTTGTATGTTGTATGTACGTATATCGTATCTGCCAAAGTGTTATACTCAAGATTGTTTCTAGACCTTATTCACGTTACCCTCGATCCCGCACGAGCTTAGGACTGATGGGATACAAGCTATGTACCGGCCTGTTTCCCATCTTCGCAGGGGGGCAAACAAGTGAAAAAAATTTGCTAATGCAAGAAATCGCGGTTGAGTTTGTTAATTCTAGATAGACAACAGAGCATGAGGAACTTTTCATCTAAAAGACATAAATGGAAAATTATGGGTAGAAGTCGCCGTTGTTACGGCGCAGTAGAGACTACAGATGTCCTCACAGCAAACAATAATGATAAACAAACTCGACCGCGACTACTCCTTTTGGGAAATTTTATCACTTGTTTGCCTCCTGAAATACCACGTGACATAGCTTTTATCCCATCGATGATGCTGGGTATCGTGAACTTTTATAATCGCGTAATTCTTCTTACCTTTATCAGTGCGTTTTTCAACTCTTCTTCGGATTTCATAAAAGACAGTGTGTCATCCTTAAAAGAAGCATAGCCCAAGTAGATTTATTATACAGTGGATGAATATAAAATTGTCCCTTTCAAATGCAATGAACACTTGAAGAAACTGTTCTATTTTTATAGATTTGAGTACCTCCAAATAATTTTCCTTGAAAAATTGTTTCAACGAAGCAAGATTAAGCCCATCCAAAGCGGCAAAAGCTCTTTGATAATCACGATCATCTACGGAAATTCAAGGTCAAACCAAATGTTAAAACAAACAGGAGTTTTCTTCATTTGGACACACAGACAATACTAAATCATGGGTCTTTTTACATTAACTACTTACAACACAAGAAGACAATTGCTTCCTATCTATTTCACAGGGGTACCCAAAGACGACAAAGACGGATTTCTGTGAAACGTGTGTTCAATGAAGCAAATATTACCTAGAAATTTCTTCTAGCTCTGAAATTAAATTTCTCGATAACGGTTACAATTCATGTAAGAAATTCGGAGTTTTTCTATAAACATCCCTAAGATCTTCGGAAATGGATTTTTCACATTATCCGATTATTGGTAAATAAGTGGTCACCTGTTAATTCTGGTGTAAAGAAGAAATGTCCCATAACATTTTCTAATTCTATGACTATACTCCGTGTCCTCACATTTTCGACAAGACCGGTCAGGGAAGCTTAAATTTCGGATGAAGCAAAAAAGCCCCCCGAAAATTTCGAGACCAAAGTTTCTATTAAACATCCAAACAGATAGATAGCATATTTAGGGAAGGTCCATATCAACGAAACAGACTTCTAAAATATAATCCATTATACAGGCATGTCTGACTTATTTGGCCTAAAGATTTGGTCCTTTGGTCCCCCTGATTTCTTTACCAGCTCAAAGTAGTAAGGTTTTTATTTATTTATTTATTTAAATTATTTCTACCTACATACTCAGGTATATGCTAACATTTAACTGGGTTTTAATTGGTAACACTCACCTGTTTCTTCGTTCTCTGACTCCTATGGTGAAATAAAGAGAAAGCACATCAACAACTTCATTAGTATAGCCTGTTCCAGGCTCTCAGATAGTGAGGAAGACGTGAAAGAAAAAGGCAGGCGAAAAGTTGGTGGGGCGGGAAAAAGGAAAAGTTTCCTCCCGTTTTATTTTCGTGTTTGCGCTTTCTCATTTTAGCGGACCCGACCATCTCAGAGCCTGAAACGGGCTACAAATTCATATATAACAAACCTATTAAATGTTTGACGTCTCTCAACAATCTTTCTAGAAAGAGACGGCCATTTGCATTGTCCAACGATCGGATGGAACAAAAGAATGGGGAACGTTTTGTTCCAGTGCACACGAAAGTCATTCATGCCAATTTTTTCGTTTTTCTGCTATATTTGCAGGACCACAGTTTGAAATCTAGAATTGCTAATATGGCAACGTGACGTAACCACTTCTTTCTCGATTGTTTCCTAGTTTAAACAGGTCAGCAGGAGAAAGTGAATAGGCGATCAAAATCTCCGAGAGAAGGCGTTTTTATAAGAAAAACGGTGTTATCCGACTATTTGCTTCATCACGGAAACAGCTCGTACTTCTTTAACCGTCTATGATTTCTTCTCATTCCTTAATGTACTGGTATGTTTAGTCGTCTACAAAGTTTGAACTTTGTTTTATTCATATATTTATTTATTTATCTATTTATTATTTGCCCTAGAGCATTCACTAACGTCAGCAATATTTCATTCATCAATGCAGTGAGAATATATTCTTAGAAGCCTTTTCTAGGAGACCCCCCTTCCTTGCTGATAAGAACAACTCTGGCAATGAATATCACTATTTTACGTTTATTATTTGCAGATTCAAGGAAAGAGCTTCCACTTAAATTCTTAAGAACATTAAAAAGATCAACAGCAAAATACAAATAAAAAATGTTCAATGTCTCTATATTTGAGACTTTATAGAGCAAAATGTGCATCAAGCCATCAAAAAGATACGTTTATTGTAGAAAACAGCTTACGGTTTAGTGACCTTTAGTCAATTTTGGTTATTTACGATCGCGTGACCTTTTATGAGAAGCGTAACTACTGACAGAAACTTTCTCAAATGACCTGTCCATGGTAAGCATGGATAAAATTCAGTGCTAATTTGCTCAGTCGTGTATTTTCTTAACGTTACATTAGAGTCTGTCCCATGTATATTGAACATTATATAAAATACACAATAATAATCAGACCTCGCTTGAACGACACTGAAAAGCGATCTTCTCTTTCCTGGTTATACACTCGATATCTTACAAACATACAAAGTATTGCCCTTCCTGAGAAGGGCTTAATCATTGAGCCTTCCTCAGGAAGGGCTAATGAAATAAATTAAAAAATCAACAATTAAAATACAATAATGAATAAATATGAACAAGATGATCGTAAAAACTGACTACCGGATAAGTAAGATTCAATAGATAGTTCACTGAGGAGGAACAAATCAATATTTTATTAATGCAATCTCTAAAGATTCTACTCTATCCGTCAAATAACATGGCTTCCTCGTAATTATACCCTCTAAACCTGACTGTGAATGCAAGCGAACCAATTCTGGACAAACAGCTGTTCAATATACCATTGCTAACATTTGTGAGATCAATTGTACCACGTGAGTTCCTGTTAGAACATGCATAGGAGCGTTGTTCTTAGTACATCATTATCTTTTCTTACTGTTCTCGAGCAAACAACTTACCATGGAGTGAATAAATGAAACACAGCAAAAAGCCCTCAATTTGTATTATTGCCTATGAATTTTAATCCTCCGTTTTACAATCCACATGTACCACGTAGCCATTGCCGTATTTACTTAACTGTTTAATTAATGAATAATGAGCAGCAGCTTTAATTTATTCGATCTCTCAGACATGGCAGTTTTGGAGGGGTTTTCCCAAATTCCATATATGGTAACTTTAGGCTTATGACGTTATCATGAACCAATAAGCTCTTTGTTTCTAACTATAGTTTTCTAGGAAAATTGTTCTACTGACCTTTAATAAGTGAACTTCCGTAATATAGCACCGCGTTTTGGTTTTCTATAGCCAACACATATATTTTTCGTGTTCTTCCAAAATTGCTAAATTATAAACTTTAAAAGACGAGCAAAGTCAAAATCTGCAGAACTTTAAGGTCAAAAAGCAAAAAAAGAAATACGCTTGTTGGGATAAAAGGCACATGCGTCGGGAATAGATTGTACGGTACAGTCCGAATATTGTTTTCAAATCAGAGTTCAAGGCATACATCAGCTAGCTCACAATTTTCTTGATCTTTTAATGTTTTGATTTATGTGATGGGTAATTTATGGTAAGAAGTGTGTTTTGCTCTTTAAGCGCTATTGTTATTGTTAAGTGTTCCCTTTGTAAACAAGACCTTGTTACTTCCTTCTTGAGGGATAATTACAGAACTTAAACAGAGCAATATAAATGCCAATAAGTACTCCAAAATACAAGATCCTACTTTGCCAGATTTTTTAAAAAAGGTTCTTATCTGCGGAATTTTTACTAAATCTCGACTTCGGGCCGAAGGTTGGCTTCACAATAGGCCCTTTGCAGCTAGCCATTCATGTGGTACAAAACCGCCGTGTTGGAGAGCAAACTTCGCTCTGGGACAAGACAAACAAATGAAATAACCTTAAAATTATTTAACTATGTCTCGTTTTTGTCCCTGTGCGACTTTTTCTCTCCAGCTCGGTGGTTTTGTACGACGTGAATGGTTAGCTGCAAAGGGCCTAAAATAGGCGTCACCACATGGTGATCGTTTCCATAGAATTTGCAATTTAATTAGGTTCTTAATTTTCATGAAGGAGATAATCGATTGTTGATTACCGTAGCAGAAAGCTAAATAAACTTGGGTTTGGTCCTTAAAACTACGGTATTTATTCAAAACCCTAACAAAACTGATTACATGTACCGAATTTATGTACAGTTTGGTGCAGTATTCCTGAAAATTCTAACGTTCTAAAAAGTTGTGAAAAATGCGCACGCTGGAGCTGGAGCCGTATAGACCACATGCTTAATATCCCAACGTAACGCGTGTTACGTCTTAACGTAAATGTGGATTTCCACTGTCGCATAATTTTTTCGTGCGTGCACCCGTAAAGTTTACCTACGTAAATAAAGTAGAAACATGACGAAGTACCAGAGTGATGTCCTCGTCGACTATAAGAGTGCTCAATAGTTGAACTAGAGCAGAATACAAGTAGACTGATGGAACTGGATTGACACCAAAGTTTCACTCAAAGAAATTTCTAATTTCTACTTAAATTTACAATCTCAAAGTCTCACTCCTTGGTTAAATTGTTTATCATAATTTAGCTGCTTAATCTTGCTTGGCTAAACAGATTCTTATATTTTTGGGTATTAACGTGGCAACTTTCTGCCAGGAGGGTCTTAATAAACTCGGTTCTTATTCGAGGGTGCATTTTTAAATATCAAGACTCATTGTGCTGAAACAGTTAGCCTTAGATGTTGCTAAGTCGACGATGATGGTAAGTCGTGTAAGTCCAGGTAGGTCATGGAAGCTGGAGAGGCGCATAGTAGTTTTACTGTAGTTCTTCACGTCTTCCCTCTTCCGAAACACCATTTCCCTCAGTAAAATGCGGTACAATGGAAACTCTCCTAACGGATACTCTCGTAAGCAGACAGCTCTACTTGCGGTCGCCTTCACAAAACCCGTTTTTCTAAACTCCTATACAGACTCTGTATTTTTACATTCCCGTAAGCAGCTAGCTCCAGTTACGGATACCTTTTTTGCGTCCTGAGGGTGTCCGCTCACAAGACTTTGTACTGTATTTGTTATGATCCACCCCGACACAGTTGCGCCCAGTGTTCGAGCCCGAAACCCGGAAAAGCCTGATTTTGGAAGGCAGTTCTTTTTGCAGCTGCTCAAGGTGCGTACATAACTGATGATCTTTCTCGTGTTAATAGTTCCTCTCGCAGTTAAATATATGAAATAATAACGATTACTCCAAAAAGCCGGTCTTAACTCATTTTAAGGGTAAGGATACACATAAAACTATTCACACAAGCTTATTAAACCAATGAAAGCCGTTTTGTTGAGGTAATATAAATATAGGAAATAGAAGCTGATTCTCACTCGCTGATTTCTTAACTTCTAGGCAAGCTTTCCCGGAATTTTCTAGAAAGAAGTCTTTTTTCGAAAAAATCAAAAGGCGACATACACATTATATATGTCTTTGAAAACAATTTCAGATTAAATCTTTTCGCTTGCAAGTTTGAGGGTGGTCACGTACTGCAATTCAGTTATTAAAATCATTACAAGCAGCAGACAAGACTAGTCAAAGCAAACGTTGGTGGAAAGAAGAAGTTCATGAAAGATTATTAACTATACTTTGTGCAATACAAGTATTTTCCTGAAGAGTTAGTTTTCTTTAGAGGTCTGAAATCGCTTTGATCGAGTTCATTTGACGCAGCAACGTATCTGCATGTGATATTCAGGGTCATCTGAAAGAATAATGAGTTTCTTAAAGATAAGAACTAAAAGTGCCTGTAATGACAGCTGTAATGAAATTTCTGTCTTTTACTCTTCAAAGCTTACATACATGAAAAAAACCCCAAAAGAAAACCCTAGCTTTAGAGGTTTGAAAAGAGGCCCAAACGTACTAGCTATTGCTTCACGTGATAATCATGTCGATTAGTATCACTGACAATAGTCTATTACTTATCCTTGGGAGTGTTCTGATCAAATAAATATTTTTAGTATTTACCACATCAGTGAAACTTTTTGCGCAGTTTGATTGGCTCCCGCAACGCGGAATATCCTTGGCTATTCCCGTTTAAAAAGGAGAATCGTTGGTGAACTAGTCATGGTTTATTCATGACGTTTAAAGATAAGAAAATAAACATAAAATACATCATGAAAAGGAAACACGAGGTCAACCCTATGACGTTTCCTATAATAGCCGGAAATAAAAAATACGTTAACTTATTACCTATCACTGTTTACATATTCACATATTCAATACTGCTGTAAATTATTCCATTCTTTCACTATGCGAATAAAGAATGAATATTTATGGAAGTTAACCCTTGCATTTTTCACGCCCAATTTAAAAGGGTGGTTAGCTCGTGTCCTTTTATCTAGGGCGAGTTCGAAAAAACCACTAAACCTCAGGGTATTTAAGCCAAAACAATTTTATAGCATTCTTTAAGTGAAATCAAGTGTCTGCTTCTCTAAGGTGGGCCAGTTCAAAATTTTAATAATTCCTCGTACTCCATTTCCCCCACGCTTTTCACGGTCCAAGCGCAATGCGAGATGCCCTTCTCTGGATCTTTTCAACGCTGCTAATGCGTCTTTTACTGGGTATGGGCACCACACTGGGGCTGCATATTCAAGGATAGGTCGCACTAAAGTTATGTACAAAATACTGAAATGCTTCTTGATTTGTAGGTCCGATCGTTCTGTAAACAATGCCTAAGATTTTATTGGCCTTGTCCTTGTTTGCAGCAAAATCAACTTGAGCTCCCCACGACAGGTCATAAGAAATCAAAAGTCTCAGGTCTTTCACACACTTTACTGGTTTGATTGCTACTCCCATAGTATACGAAGGAGATGACTTGTCAAGGTTATGGATAATGCGCATTGTTTCGCATTTCTCCGGATTAAATCTCAGCTGCCATAGAGTTGCCCAATTTTTTAAGTGATCAATGTCGGTTTGAAGAGCTCGAGTATAATTTGAACTGTTGGCAATCTCTTTGTACACTCTCTGATTTCTTTCTTTCCTATGGGTATTTTGCTAACTATTTAACGGGTAATTTTTAAAAGGGTGTTTCGATTTTGCAGTCTGATTATCAATTAAGAATGAAGTCTATACTGCTGGTAACCGGACTAACAGGCCTTCCTTAGCGGCCAGGGGAAAGGGAGGGGAGAGGGAAATTTAAAAGTCGAAGAGGGAAAGAGAAAGAAAGAACAAAGAAAGAAAGAAGAGAAAGAAAGGGGGAGGGTTCGACTACTGCGGAAAACCGCCAAAAAATGGCACCGTCAAAAACATCTCTCCTCTGCAGGGGCTCACAGCGGCATGACGAGAGTGAGTGCGGGCACAAAGTTTGTTTGGCATTCGCCATTTTCACATCTCCTATAATACACCTTGTTTTTCCCCAAAATTTTGAAAGAAAATAAACAAACAAAGTTAACAATGGAACCTAGCCCGAGAACAAAAGAGCTGGCACCCATTGGGGTCCAATTAAATTAGAGGTTCTGAAGAGCTGCACAGCTACTGCATGAGATTTTCCATAGTCTTTGTCTTTCATTTCCCCAGGATATTACAGTCGTCTCCAGAAAAATTGGAGAAAATGCAGCTTATGCAAAATTTTGGGGGAAAATAAGGCGTATTATGGGAGATGTGCAAATAGCAAATACGGCGGGTCAGCCCTGAAGAAGAAACTTTCAGTTTTCGCATCTGCACTCACTTTGTGCAGCAGAAATCTAATATTAAAACACCTCATTGGACCTCTGCGGAGGAGAGAGCCTGCAAGCAATAATGCGCGGTCCCCTAAAGGCGAGATATTAGGTTCTCTGACTTTTATTTGATATAACAGATTCTGTTCAAATGAGAATGGAAGTTAGTTTCGATTGAACATGATCGTATACTAGGCTAAACCTCATGTACAAAGGGACTGATTTAAAGGCTTATTCAATGTGCCATTTACACCGAACAATTATGCAGAGACTGCCCTGTTGTTCACTTTCCCTCTTTTATCCCACTTGTTCCATATATTTACTATCTTAAATCATCCTACGGAACCCATAACTAGCTAGGGTCTATTACCTTTAACAGGCAACTTTCGATATATTAAAATTTGACTAAGCATGATAGCGAGTCTTAGAGGAGACAAACAAAGAAAATCAATAAACATGTTTATTAATTTTCTTTGTCTTTGTTTTCTTTCTTTAATTTTCTTTTCTTTTCTTTTCTTTGTCCTCTGAGACTCGCTATGATGCTGAATTTTAATATATCGAAAGTGGCCTATTCAGTTGTATGTCCTTTCTTTATTAAAACTCACGCGCGCAATGACAGGCCATAAACCAGTTATAATGATGAGTCAAGCATCCAAACGCATCGGAGACACGTCTTGATTAGTACCAATATCATATTGAGCCTGGGAACCGTGTGAACAGACAGTAGAACTACAAGACTGTATTACGCTTGGATTTATACACCCTTATGACAAGGTATTATTACTTGTTCTTTTGCAAAAAGAAAGAATATACGACAATAAGCCTAAACATTAACGATCAAACGTTATACGCGGAATTCTTTTACCATACAGTTTCAACTCTTGAGTGGTAGACCAGCCTCATGGCAAGAGCGTAGCGTCCAGGAGTCCTGTGGCGTCCATATACGCACATGCGCTCGTGCGAACATTTACAGCTGAAAAAGCATTTTTTTTACCATTAAATCGGGATGAATGATATGTTTTTCGCAATTCGGTGTCTTTGTGTTAGTATTGCTTTTAACTTTTTATTATTCCATAATTCTGTTGTCGTCACTTGCCTTCTTTTTTCCAGTTAACACTGAACAGTTACCAACAATACTAGAAATGGGTAAAACAAACCACTAACCGCTGCATTTTCCTGCGTATCAATTTGCTGAAAATGTCGTGCGGAAAACACTGGAAATGGCATTTGCGAGACCCTATATTTAAGAATTTTGTGGGGGAGCAAGCCCCCAGACTCCCCTAGGTTAGGCCACTTTTGGCGCTACAAGTGTGTACACCAGGTGTACACCTTCAAAATCTCACGCTACGCCCCTGCACTGATGCATCAGAGGGGACAACTAAAAACGGTCCCCTTGGTTTATTGTCCAATAACAGGTTTGGGGAAGAATGATCCTTTAGTAGAGCGATTGTAAACTGCTTTATAATTGTCAAGCCAAATATTGAGTTACAGCTCTGTGAGAAGTTATGTCGACGGCATTCAAAATGGTAAGTGAAGATTCCTACTATCGTGATTAAAAAAGAGCTAAAACTAAACATTATTTCCTCTAGACTGAGGCAAAAAGACAAAACACTTGCAATTCGCTTCTTTAGAAACGAGAAGGGAACTGGAGCCCAAATATGTCCCGCAATGGTTTCTGGGATCGTCACAGGGAACGCATCAGCTATTGGCCAATTTTTTCCCCGGTCCCTAGTAACGGTTTCAGAACTCTTTGCAAAAGTTAACTAGGCTCAGTTCCTTCTCGTTTCTTAAGTGCCGCATTTTGTGTTAAAATGTCTTTAACTGAATTAAAAGATGACGTCACATTTCGTAACTACATGTACAGTGGCCGCTGGCCATTTGGCCGAAATGAGTTTAAGTTGTGTCACCCCAAGCCTGCATTTTCTTGCCCGTTTTTTCTAAGTTTTTTAGTCTATTGCGCTGGATAAAAAGCTTTTTCACGAATGAACTTCTGAAACTTGAGTTCAGGAAGTGGTAATTGCAATAGCTGTGTCAGCCGTTAGGCTACTAGAACCCCCACAACCTCCCCACTTGCTTTCTTATCTAGTAAGGATATCACATCGAAAGCCTATTTCTTCCCTCAGCAGCATCAATGTAGGAAAACAGTTAGAGCTCTATCTCCTGCTTGTCAGGAGCCTGGCTTGTAGAGTTGTTTTATGAAATTTAACTGTGCATATTAATGTTTCAGTTTGTTGCAGGAAAATTTTAATAAGCACCCCTTTGTAAAAAAAAACCTTACTATAGTTACCTCTCAGTTCCAAGACAGGTTCTTGTGTAAGCCACCTTGGACCCCACGTTGTCGTGCACGTGTATGTTATGACAAGCAAAGGTGGATATCAGCCTCCTCCCTTTGGCTAATATCGCATATTGTATTTTTTTCTCTGCAGGAACGATAACTTCATCGAGTTGGAATCGTCATATAACTCGTCAGCTTGGTAGCCACTTATGGATTGCAGAACAGCAACTTTGGTCAACTTGTTTGAAGTATTGGCGAACTAGCGCACTCTCCTTTATTTTCTCAGAGAATTCACCCGAGAACTATTTGCTAGGAGAGACTAGTTCTTAGCCTGTAAAAAGAGGACTTGGACTGTTCAAACATTAGTTTCAAAAATAGAGACCTCAGACGAAAACGACTACGCGAACGGGCCTTGATTTAAAGGTTTTTGACGTAGACACCACAGAAAGCTTCATTTCACTTTTTTTTCTTTCACTACAAAAGTTAGCACTGTTATCTTTACTGAAGCAGGTCAAGCCCTCCCCGATCGCAAACTAATAAAGCTTAACTCGTTTCCGCCACTAAGACACTGAAACTCGTAGTAGAATGACGACAGCTATCACGTTTTCCCGCCAGAATGACGCTGATTCACGCGCGCGCATTGCTTAGTATTGAGAAAATCTCGTACTCGGAGTCGTCCTTGTTATAGAAGCTAAAGGCCTATTGTTATCACAAACAGCAGCTGGTCTATTGAGACGACCATGCAAGATAATTGTAAAAAAATAACCTGATGGTTCATTTTGCACTGTTTATATAAGTCAATATGTAGAGGTCATGTTTTGCTCTAGAACTATGCACTTCTATACTGCTACATGCTACATTCTATATTGCGTGCTAACGTACTGTTGTGTCTTTACTTCTTTAACACATACCGCTGAAGTTATGCACAGCAATAACTATGCAAGTAAACAAAAAATACAATTTTTTTTATAGTTAACATTACGTTAATACAATATCTGCACAACGAGATTTTACATTTGACCTGTTGTTCTACAAAGCATGGAAGTCTTGTGCGAGTGTTTTGGTTCCCCTTGATAAGTTATTTTGCCAAGGTACGCAGACTGAGTGCGGATGAACCAAGTAACAATGTCAACAATATTAAACTGCATGATGCTGCCGTAATGGTATGTAGTAGAACCTGCATACCATCACGACAACCCACCTTCTTTGGGGATGGGTAGAGAGGACCGTGGCCCCTCGCCCCAGTTATTTCCGCAAAAGGTGGATAGCGCTAGCCACCGGATAAATCGCTATCTTGTTGATAACCTCCTACCACTGCAGAAGATTATTAAATATGTAATAAAAAACAAGGAGCTAATTAAAGCCTAAGTGAGGTATACCTTTTAACTTTCATGATGTTTTAATAGTATAGCATGGGAAAAAAACTGTATGTAGGACGGTACGATGCTGGCCTAAGTTGTTGAAACGGTGGGTAGCGCTAAAACGGTAATAAATCGTTATCCATGTGGGAGCAACGCAATTATTTTCCTAATAATGATGGGCAGTGACTTATCCGGTAGATAGCACTGTATACTTTATGAGCGATTTGCATCTGCTCGTCTACAAACATGTATTCTGTGCAAGACTTGCCGTACTCGAACGAAATAAACCGTGGACGTTTCAGTTAGACTTATACTTTCTGAAAGGGACCAGGCTAGACGCAAAATGTTTTAAAAGAACTTCTTCGCCTCCTTTGGTGCGAATCCTTAATCTCATAATTTAAAATTAAGGGTCTTCTAGTTTGTAATCGATTGACCCTATTCGGGAATAAATGTCTTATACTCAGTACAAACCGTCTGAGCGTGTATTGAAACTAATAACAGCGTAAAGAGAAAGTGAGCGTTAAAAAAGTCAACAAAACTACTAATTGCCTCCCGTTCACGCGGAAACCTCGTTTAGCACGCTGCTAACGGCCCATTTTGGGATTCCATGGTGTCTATTCTTTTACTGAAAATTCGCCTTGTAAATACTTCCACTTAAAAGAACCCCTACAATGTTAAGCGAGCAAAGAAAATTCAATTCAATTCAACTCTTTAAAAACACCCATGTCTCCACACAACTAGGGCCACCCTGTTAATAGGCCAATTTTTTATGGCCCGTCAGTGGCTGTAATAAAACAGGGTTCTACTAAGAACAAAGGATAGGGGAAAAAAGAACAGCCTCGACATGACAAGACTTTAGAACTGTTCTTAGGACTATAAGTCAAAAGAGACAAGAAAAAAATTGTTTGTGGAGCAGCAAACCATTGATACTGAAAATCCAACTCAGGCTGACGACATAGCAAAGAAAAAGAGCAAACGTTGCCCACACGAGTGATTGAGCAACCAGAGCAGTCTGACCGATAAGCTAAATATCACAGCATTTCCTTCAATGCGTGCACCTGTTGAAGAACCACTAGACGCCTATATAGGAGACGAGAGGACCTACAGAGAAAGACTAAGTTCCCATCAACAATGAGGACTGAAAACGAGATAGTCGAGTTTCTGAGAGAGAGGTTTGTCATACCACGTCCATGAAACGTACTACCTGAGTTCCTGACTTTCACTGGAGGTTTAATTTGCCATAAGAAAAGGATTCCATAGAATTGAAACAATAGACCACACTGATCATCGCTCTTGAATGGACAATACCTGGGACGGGAGGGAAAATTCGTCACTTAATAGCAAAGGCTTTAAAAGAACTTAAGGCTAGAGGTTGGAAGTCCGAAGCAAAATACGTAAACACTGAGCAGCCAAGAGGAACCAGGGCTAATCAGATACCAGACCCTTGGAATCAGCGCAAACCGATGCGCGCAATGGAACTGATATTAAATAAAGTAAAAAACAAGATACTAGACTTGACGACCTGAATGCTTCGTGTTTTACAAAATCACTTGCCTCTACAATGCCGACTCGCACCCATTTTCTTTTCTTATCTCCATCTTGGTTAAACACTAGCATTACTGCAGATATCTGTGCCACTCCTCTGAAAAAATCCAGCGGATTTTCCTTCTAAGGTAGAAGATGAATCTGCAGTTACCACTCTCCTGTTCTGATACTGACATGCAAGAAAAACACGTTACTCTTAAAACAGCAAATGCCAAAGAAAGAGAAAACTTTGCAAACGAATATTCGGTCAAAATTAACAGCGAACAAAGCGACAAGGAAAATATGGTAAACTAGGACAGTCAAGGTGAAATCTGTGATTAAACCCACCGCAAAGCTCAGTTAACACGACATCCTTGATAAGTTTCTTCAAGGGTATCTTAAGTGCGAAATTATAGTGGCTTGTAACAACTCTAGCAAGAATCCTGGACAAATTGTTAATCTGAGGCCGTGCAAAGAAATAACAAGTGTCTCGGGCAAGAACCGCATAGAAGCAGTAGCGGGAAAAAGAATATTTTGCTTACTTCTAGGTTGAAAAAAGCAAGTTTGTTTAGGACGATTTCTAATGTACTTTAAATTGAGATATCAGTTGTTATATTTAAGCCAGATGTTGAAGGACTTCATTCTACCTTTATACAAAATACTACGCATGTATTCCTAGCGTTGGCTTTACTAAAGATGAGAGTTGTTAAAACTGTGTCACTGAACACGGACTAATAGATGTGTTCAATCTCTTTCTGTATTTATATGAAAAAAATTCTTATAATGAACATTCAACGTGGAAGTGGCAATTGCGACCTCTCTGTCTTTCAATGTCTGTCGCAGATTCTCTAAGTGTTTTATGCCTTTTTGTCCTTCCATATGTCTCCACGACTGTCCAGGTAAGGTCCCAGATTCCAGGCATAGCGTTCATGGTTGACTTTCTCTCTGCACACAAACTTATTTTCTTCCGTGCACTTTGTGCACACGAACTGTAGAGTATCACCCCTCCAACCATGTGCAAAATTGCATTTATCGGTTAAATTAGCATCACATCCAGGCTTGTGAACAGTGCATTCTTTTCCTTTTTTAGTGCCCAAAACAAACGCTCCGTGATGTAGCTTTCCTTCTTGAGTCACCTGTTTTGGTTCAAACCATCTCTTCTCGTTTCCACGGGTCCCTACTACGCGCTTGCTTTTCTCTCCTATCGCATCTGCTGGGTTTTCTTTTGCCTTGGATGTCCTCCTATCAACTGTTTTCCATTGGTCTTGTGACGGCGCCTGCTTACGAACTTTCCAAACGGATTCGAATTGCTTCTGAGGGCTTTCGTCGCTTTCAATTCCACACAATGCATTGAAACGACCACCTATGGTAAACCGCTCGTCTGCATCGTCGAAACCGTCATCTCCAGTACGATTTTGCGCTTTCCTTTCTCTGAAAACTTCAGAATCGCAGCTCGTATCTTCTTCTTTGTAGTGTTCCGGCTCAAAGGCTGCGGCACCAAGCTGCTGCCAAGGTGTTGAACGACCACTCTTTCGCGCGCCATGATAACAAGGGGGACCGCTAAATTTGCCGCTGTTGGTGAAGTCTTCGGAAGATGCATAAGGCATCGTAAGAGGTGAAGCATTTTTCTTAAGCGAAGCGTATGTTTCTTTATCCACTGGATCATAGGCGTAGGGTCCAGCGACAGTAAATCCGAGATAAAACCATAAGTCGTCTTTGCTTTCATTGGGATAACGTGTGTTGTCAAAGTGTTTCTGGAGTCCCTGGTAAGAAATAATGCCCTTCCTGCCTGGCTCCTTTTGACCTTGCACACGTTCTAAACGCTCAGAGGGTTCCTTGCCTCGCCAAAAATGTGTCTTCGATTTCCACTTTGTTTCAAGCCACTGAAATTCATGGCTATTAACAATAGCATTCAGACCAATTCCTTTACCAAGGAAGTACTCAGCACCTGATTTTCGAAATCCTGAACCTGCCTTTTCCTGAACAATGTTTGCACATCGTTTGATTGACTCTTTGGTTTGCGAAGTGTAGTGAGCAAGGCCTCCATTTGGAATAGGAAAATGTATCATGTAGTAGAAAAGATGTGCCCACTCGGAATTAGGAAATTTTTTCACAAATTTAGTTACAATCTTGTCGAGCTCATTAACGGAAGGTTTGTCTTTAAGCTGAAGACAAGCCTTGGAACAAATTAGCATGTCATTATGGCTACCATAACCATTAAGACAAAGGGATTTTAACAACTGATAGATCAAATTAGCATCGCTTTTAGTAATGTTTGACCATGTGCTGTAAGGGGTCTCGTCTTTGAAGTAAAGAAAGTCTTGAACTTGCTGCTGATATAGAACGTGGTCTTGGCCAGTTAAAGAGGAAGAAGACAGCAATTGCACTGAACATTCTTCACTGCTTAACTCTCTTTTGTCCATTCCGGTGATTTCATAGAACTGTCTCCGAAGATTGGAAGCTCTTATCTTTGCGTTATTAAGACTTCGTATTTCATTTTCATCATACGTAGTCGTCTGCCTGATCTTCACGTTTCCAAACAGTTCGTTCAGGATATCAAGTATGGTCGAAGGGAGACACTGAACGAAACCTTGGTCCTCTAAAGAAAGCCCCATCAATTCTGAGGGAGCCTCCGTTTCTTTCAAGTACCTCAAAAATCTTTTTGCATCAGAATGAAAACAAGACTTAACGATCTCAAGTAGTAAAATTATGGCTTCAATTTTTCCAATCATTGAGAAAAGATTTGGTACCTTTGAGGTCGCCAGAGCCTTTTCATAAATCTCCAGTGCTTTGCGGCAAGTTTGGACTGCCTCCGCTAACGATCGAAGAGGTGTACGCTTATAATCTGTAAGCTGGAGAAAGTACAAAACACCTTTGGTAGTGTAGTGGTTAGTGTAAGTGCGTTGGAGGGAGATTGCAATATCAACGGCCATGTGGGCCGCATCGATTCCGGTGAGGAGCAGGGGTGGTTTTTCATGACTTTCTTTCTTCACAGCGTTGTACAGTTGTTCCACTATATTACGTAGATCAACTTCTTCATCTAAACTGTTTGTACGCATCTCATATCCCATAAATCTTGCTAACTGCTGCCACGCCTTAGACTTTTCTTCTATTTGAGTTGCCTGTTCGCAGACTGTGAGAAGAACCTCCAGGGCACCAGCTCCTCGAATATTACTTTCGTCCTCCTTAAGGTCTTCGATAAGGGGCGAATATCTCGTGCGTTTTCCTAAAAATCCAAATACCTCGTTTTCTAAATCATTGCCAACTAAACGATCATCAGCCGCCTGTTCCTTGAGTAAAACTGGATCAGATATTCTTTTGCGATCTAAAAACATCCTGAACACTTGTTGTCTTAAAAACTTCATCGCGTATGCTTTTCCTTTGACAACCTTTTCCAGTACGAGTATGGCAGTGTTCTGCACATTTATTCTTGACGTCACCACTTCACTTACTAAGGAATGCGCTGGTCGCCAGCCATAGTACCCATGAGTTTCGTCTTGTAATTCAAGGAGAAGACCTCCAAAAGCTTCATGGATGTCTTGAATGGCTGGAAATTGCTGTTTATCCCAAGAAAGTCTTAAGTAAAGGAAGTCCAGGACTACTGAATGCGGAAGGATCACACTGCCATCGCTGTATTTGTTGAGAAAGCAACACATTTCAAGTAGCATTTGGTGTTCCTCTCGTGCTTCACCAAGAAAAGCCATCAAAATGTTGCGGATGTGATTCTGAAGCCGTTCCTTGATCTTTAGGTAGTCCCGTCCAAATAGTTCCAGTCCAAACCAAATGAACCTCTTCTCTCTTTCCAAGACCTGTTCAGCTTCTCTTCGTTTCTCACTGTCGACACTTGTGATGTTGATCAAAATATTCTTCACGCGAGCTGTCTCCTCCTCATCCAGCTTTCTTAAAGTGATCTCTAAATTGGCTATGGACGTTGAAATTGGCAAAGTAGCAAGAACAACGCATTTTGTCTGCCTCTTCATTATGTGGTCTCTTAAAAAACGAAACTTAATCTCCGGAAAATTGTCAACCAGCACAAGGACTGGAAGTGAAAACGTCATATTCCTTTCCTCGTAGCCAATGCTTTGTAGTTTCTCAATCTGGTAATCTGTTGAACATGTTATGGCTTTAACCACAGCACATCGGTATTCCGTTCGTTTACTCCACAAGATTCGGCGACACAGAGTCGTGGCGCCAGACCCCGGCTCGTAAGATACAGTTATAGTCTTCACATAGAAGCTGGCGTCAACATTTTCTTTGGACAGGGACTTAGGTGCGCTTCCAACCTTAGCATTAACGTCTTTTTCCAGAGTTCGTGGGATACTGTGATCATAGAAGAGGTTTACCTGGCTCGCTTGGGCACCTTTATAGAATGCATCTCTTGCCTTCTCAATGGCATCTGTCAATCTGGGCAATCGGGGATTAGGAAAATATACTTCTAAATCATCCAAAGAGTGAATGGCTTTGTTCAGAACCGCTTTTAAACCAGAGAAGTATGGCAGCTCTGTTGTGGCATCTTTCTCTTCAAATTTAGATGGTCCTACTAATTCGCGAGCAATTTCTTTCAGAAGAGTCCAGGAAATTCCAGCTACAGAGCATTCTTCTAGTTCTCTCTGGAGTGAATATTTTGAAGCCTTGATAAATGCGTCTGCAATATCTCTAGATTCACTGATGATAGTAACACAGCTGTTTGCCGAGTCTCCCAGAATACTGAAACTGCTTTCCATGATGTCCGCCATTTCATTGACAGCGGTCTCGCTAAAACACAGGAATACACAAACAAGCCGTCCTGGGAGAAAACATTGTTTGTAGGCTGAAAGAGCGCGATACAAACAGTCCTTGGAACGTTTGATCCAGTCCCCCTTTTGCATCTCTTCATTATTGAAAATCCATGTCGTCCCTCGAGTTGAGATTAAGGAATCCTTTTCAGCTGTTATCTCTTTAAACTCGTCTAGGGTTCGTATTTTTGCTCGTGGCGCGTCGCTAGTCTCGTTACATGTGTGATGTAAGCCATCTTGTTTGGAGGATGGATCAAACAGGTCAAACACTGCCACCCAAGGTATGTTTTGTAGGAACGACAAATGTGCTGTATCTCTGTACTGGGCAGGAAGTTTGTTTGCAAAAAGTATGAAGCCATACTCTTTGTAGTTCAGCTCATGTAATCGCTCTCGTAAGATTTCAGTGTATTTTTTGGCGTCGCCTTCCTCCAAACTGAGTTCTGTTAAAACAGAAATAATGGTCATGATTATAAAATTTTTTATCATAGACTCACCCGAACCCCAGTCGATATATGTAACCTTATTCGGCCAATTGAATTACCTTGCAGTTAAAAAGTCTATGGTTGCTTTTTCTCCTTTGGAAGAAAGCAAAAGCATTTATCACTCACCTTCAGGTATGTGGTAGGCACCTAGAAAGAGAGAAGATAATTGATTATAACATGGGATACTAGGAAATTAAGAGGAGTCTTTTTGTTGCGTTCCCTAGTCATTTGAAACAAGACGTTCTTTTCCGTGAATCTACCTGGACCTATCCTTCGCATGAGCCGCTTGATCCCGAGTCCTTGTCTATCAGCATTTAATCAGGCACAGATGAACTTGTTTGCCTTATCCATAATATACCAACTTAAAACGTGTAATAGTTATATGACAGTGATATTATACAACTATCCCCCGAAGGGGAGGTGAATACCGGTGATGTTCACCGAGACGCGAAGCGTCGAGGTGTATATCTAGCGCAGTTCACCGACCCTGAGGGGGTATAGTTGTTTTAGTATTTACCAAATCAGTTGGATAAAAATGAAAAAAAGTAACTTTTTCTATAAAATTAAAAAAGTCACTTAGCAGGATTTTTATTATACAATTTACAAACATTTCGGGGATTTTGTCAAGTGCATTTTTACCTTTTTGTTGCAATTTCAGCACGACAATAATTTTCTACCTACCAAGAAAAACCGACAAGCAAAAGTTCGTCTCTTTCTTGGTGTTTGTTTGTACGACTGCTTCATTTATGGCTCAAATTTCGTTTTTCGAAAATGCCTCGAAACGAGACGCCATCTTGGCCCCGCTCGAAAACAGTGAATAGCCAAAGATATTCCGAGTTACGGGGCCAATCAAAACGGCGAAAATTGCTATTCACTGATTTGGTAAATACTAAAAAGAAATATTCTCAGTGACAGTTGACAGCGTAGAGGGAGGGGCTGGGATGCCCCCTCCCCCGCCCCTCCACAAAAAAAGGTTTCTTACAAAATTTAACATGGTGTTTTCTTTATTCGTTAAATGCAAAAATACCGACACAACATTATTTCCACGTTTTGAACGCGAGCTTTCATCCGTTGATCACTTTTTGTCGGTACGATTGGGATGATAAATGAATGAACCTTGTATGTTGCAGCAAAAAGCTCCTCTTTTTACGCGGCTCATTTCTATGACTATTGAACCCATTCGTTCGTGAACGGCCCGTAGCCGCCCGTGCAAGTCCACGTCCCTTGTATCGCTTGTTAAAGTCACCACTTTTAACGACCATGGACAATTTTGTCATATAAAATGTGCAGGGGGGTAGATATCTTTTAATACACACAGGAATGAGAACAATTTCAGTCAAGGTGGCCGGAGCAAAAGGCAAAAAACCATATAACGTTGACTTAAACATTTCGATGAAAATCTTGTTCCACTATTCGTGTGTTCTTCTTTCCATCTAACCTATGATCTTAAAAGCTTTCCCAAATACTTTTCCTACCAAAATGAAGCCTAGTAAATGCAAAGCGAAACGAAAAAGTGGGGTAAAAAGGCAAAAAAAGAGGGAAGGAGAAAAAGCTAAAGACGAAAGTCGAACGGCTACCGTGTCACTTTAAACCCGAAATTTTTGTTTTCTTCTGATGCCCGACCTTCGGCAACTGTTTTGCATCTGGATTAGAAGGTCGTAAAGTGCACGGCCTGTAAACGGCTTCTTGGTAGGTTTTAACTCTTTATAACCAGGGATTGACCAGAAAATAGCTCGACTAGCTTTAAAACGCGTTTTTCGGCAGACTTCTTAGGGGCGAATCTCTTAACATCGTCAAGTAGTCCGGGGACCGTGGGGCATATTTTGGATTGGAGCTAGCTCGCGCTACAACCAGTTGCAAAAATGATGAGACACTCCCACGGAAAAACGACCTTTCTTGCTTCAAATCGCTCTTGGTCACAGGTCTGTAAAATATAATACTGACCTCCCTCCTCCCTCCCATTCAAAGTTGTTCCTCCAAGTTTTGAGTATGGTCTTGTATTGCTAGCAACTTTGATAAGGGGTGGAGGGGGCATCACAAGCACAAGATCATGGACAGGCCATTTATGCCAAAATACGGTACAGTGTCTCAAGTACTTTTGCAACTGGTTGTCTCATTTAAGGTTTACTTCAACAAGCGATTTCCAGTGGGCTCATCAAGTTTTTGGAAAAATAAATCTTCTGAACCGTCTAACAGTTTAAAATCACTTTCAAATTCTTCTTCACGACAAACTAGATTGCTTTTGGGATTGTTCGTTTAACATATATATACATTTATACAATTTTCTTTTTTCTCTTGTACCCGCCTCGAATAGCCTTCGCTAATTGTGGCCACAAGCTTTGTAAGCTATATTTGATTTGAAATAAACTTGTTGTTGTTGTTGTTGCTTCACTATCACTAGAGGGCAATGTGTCCTTTTGTAGGGCAGCAACCATTTCCTTAAATGATTTAATTTCTGGTGATTGCTCAAAGGATAGATCTTCAGTAGCTTCGTCTCTCACACTAATTTTCAGTTTTCTTGGTGGGTCGTGTGTTGGCTTACTCCCTTTTTGTTTTTTCGTGGGATGTCTTTCAGGTGTATAGCCATGTTTCGCTGGTGTTAAGTTGAGTAGTTTGATGCCTGCAGTTTCAGTTACAGTTTCTTGTGCTTTTACCATGTTAATCAGAGTCGTTGACAAATGTTACAGGAACAAAGTCATTCAGTTGTTTATGAGGTAGATTAGAGTGGTTCCTTTCAGGAGCCTCAATGTAGTTCTCAACACTACAATCAGGAACAAAAGTTGTAGGTACACTTGAAAATGAGTTGCATTTTTTCAGTGAAAGTTCTTTTAGGTCAGCTATTTTGATCAGCTGGTTTGATTGTGTAGAGATGCTGTAATGTTGAAGAATGGCTTTAATGTTTGTAAGGCTACCCTTGTTGTCTTTTAACATCAGCAAGTTTTTGTGATCTTCAATAATTTATCTGTTTTATTACTTGATTATCATTCAAAGTATTTAGTTGTTGAAATGTGACTCCATTGGTACAATTTGTGTGTTGCGTGGCAACTTTCTCAAACATTAAAAGATACAAACTCTCCTTTTCAAGAAATAATGGTTTGGGGCCAACAAAGGTTGCTTTTCCATTATTCCATAGACCATTGTAAACAAACCAACCATTTTTGTAATTTTTTGAGAAGAATACACTTCACACCAGTAGTGATGTGATTTCAGGTAGACAATACCAGTCAATTTATACATACAGCCGTTAATATCAATTGTGTTTTCTTTGTCCAAGTTTGGAGTGTACCCTTTTGAAGAATTTCCTGTGTACCCAACAAAAAATATGTTAGGTTGGTTGAGTACAGTTGTTGATTGTTGTAACATTACCCCACAAGTCTTAGGATCACTTATTATAGCACAGTCTGAGTCAATGGCATTAATCTGATTATGATGTTGGGATGAAATTCCTTAGTGTTAGTTTGTGTTTAATCACCTGAATAACATCGAACTCATTGGAATCTTGGAGGAGGTGTTCGTCTAATACATCATCAGCACTGACTGGAAACACATTATGTCTAAAGGTGCAAAATGAGTCGTGGTTTGGGTCATAACTGCATGATTGTGAATAATTTGTTTTGGGTGAAAATTTCTGTCGAAGATCTTCAGGCATGGATTCAAGAAGTCTGTATGTGATGGAATCAAGGGCAGCTTCTTTACCATAGGCATAATGTGTGATCATAAAATGTTTTGTCCCTAAACCACTTCCATAATGACATTTTACCATCATGGAATTTTCTTTTTTCTCTTAATACAAATGAATTAAGTAATGCAGTAAGACCTTGTGACATATTTACATTGGGGGAAGTAAAGTGACATTTGAAACCATGAT